TAACCCTAACCCTAACCCTAACCCTAACCCTAACCCTAACCCTAACCCTAAACCCTAACCCTAACCCTAACCCTAACCCTAACCCTAACCCTAACCCTAATTTCAGCTTTTTCTTAAGCAGACTGTCCCTCAGATGAATACAGACGCATATCAATTTTAAATTTACTTTTGTATTTCACACTGCATCCGAGCAACCACCTCAACGTGTGCCTTTAATGGAACCCTACTTGTTGCAGACGATGGTCATATTGAAGTTCGGAAGGAAACTAGCGACTGCTCTGCACTGGCAGATCAGCTTCCCGTCTTTGATATCTTCTCATTCCGCCACGCAATGCTTGAAAGGTACCAAGAGCAGTGGAAGGCCAAAGTGAATTCCTCATCCAAGTCTCAGCTGAGCTTGACATTTGCGTGGTCGCGCCTTGACGGTCGCTGAACTACGTCGCGGTAGACAATGAATGCTGTGCTGACGGCCGCTAAGAAAACTGCAAGGCCCTGAGAACCGAGCTCCGCCTTGTAGATAGCTTCGTCGTTCGAGGGATAGTTGAAACGTTGAAGGATTGACTTGGGCAAGAGAGGAATGAGCATGGCAACACTGAGGATGATACCTAGCCAAACTCTCTGGACAGGGATGGCGAACCCGGCGTAGGTGTGGAAGCGCGCCCATGTCCGATGCGCAGCGTAGTTGCCCTGACGCGCGTAAACGATGGTTTTGTAGCCCGTAAACATGACAAGGATGCCGATGATATCAGTCATGCTGGCGAAGCTTGGCCACAGGAACACTGTTGTGCCATTGAATCGTACTTTGTGGAGATGACTCCAGTCTTCATGGCGGTACGAAAGCCCCTTTTTGCGAAGGAGTGCCCAGCCAGAGAGGCTCAAGAGCGTCGAGATGCCGAGGGTGATCCGTCCAAGGACACGGTGGGCACGAGGATACGCCTTGCGGAATTTGTTTGTGTTCTGCACTGCCATCAGGATGGACCATAGCATACTAGCAATATGCGAATAGAATCCAAGATAATGATGTCAACTTATATGCTCGGCCCTCGTGCGCATGCAACGGGCAATTAAGAACTCACCCGGGGAAGGCGTGACCAACGTAGTACAACCCAAAGGCTTCCTTGCGTTGAATGAAATCAAATTGTCCGCTACTGTTCCGCAGACTGGTCAAGGGAGGTAGCACCTTGTACTTTCTGAACAAATCGATCGGTTCGAGGTCGGGCTCGTCGCCGCTTGTTTTGCGTGCCGTGGCATGGTCATGCTCGGCCAAGCTACCATATTTGAAGTAAAGTTCCGCCGGGACCGAGCCATGGTATTGGAACCAGACAAATGCGAAAAGGATGAGGGAGAGGACGCCTATCGTGAGCAAGGAGTAGCCCTGAGGCCCCTTATAATTCATTGCTGACCGCTTAAGCTCGTCGAGTCTGTGCGAATGCTGGATGATAAGAAGCAGGGAGGCGTGTCGCAGCCGTTCACATGCGATCGAATCGATGCGCGGTGGGATAGATATAGAACCTTGTCCACCCTGCCTGGGATTTTAAAGCTTAGGGATGCCAGCCTGACCAAGGCAAGCGACTCCATCTCCGAGCTCCAATGTGGTTGCACAGATCGCTGCATCTGGCCAGTCTCATTCCTCATTTCAAACTGGCGGTGCCCGATAGGTATCCGCCCCCTCATTGCGTGCCGAGACTGGCAAAGATTCAGCATTAGGCTCGGTAGCACTTCTTGCAAGCACCCGAACTGTACACTGTCGTGACAGTTGATCGATTTGGTTGAAGCATGACTGAGATATGCGTTGACTCGGGTCAAGCAATGTATCCACCACATAAGGCCGACATACGCCTCGCTGAGCGTGCAAAGCCTTGGAAATGAACTTTTGCAAAGGCTACTGATAATCTGTTAGTCCGTTGGAAAGAACACCATGCTGAGCATCGTTCCTCCCTGAAAGCAAGCGCCGATGATGCAAACGTGATGCATGTTCTCCACCGATGTTGCACCGCGTTAATCAGCCTTGATTTTCTTGCTACTCTGGTTCCCGCCAATCCATGGGTTCCGCTTTCAAGTGTTCGACATGCCCGTCTGAGCCCTGCTTGAGAGCCTCAGTTTCCGCAGCTATAACCGCCCTTGAAGTTGCTGTTGCAACAAGCCAGGTTCGATAACAATACTTGTCGAATACCTACTTGCACAGAAATTTGATCAGCCTGGTTGCAGGCGAGAGGAGCGCAATTGGCCCTGACGCAGGAAGATGCCCGTGCAATACGTAAATACTTGGAGACTCTTCCTTCTTTCCGCCCACGCCAAACCATCCAAGATCCTGAACATGTCTTCTCACGTCCCAACATCTTCTCAATCCCACGGAAACAAACAGCTATGGCTTCGAGGCGTAGCCGTGGCAGTGCTTCTGGTAGGCGTTGGCGAGGGGCGAGCTGGAATCGCGCGGACTGCCTTCGACCAGTGTGCGAACATGGCACCTGGCTTGGTGTCCAACCGCTTCGGGTCACAAACTGGGATTTCATTGCTCGACGCATACCTCTGCTCGCTGATGTACATCTTCGAGCAGATCTTCTCTGTGCCGGCTGGTAGAGCTGTAAGTGAAAGATAGCCCTGCGCCACGCCTGCGCTGGCTGCACCTGGGTAGCTCTGAACTGATTCTCGTCCCTTGTTGGTACCTCGTTAGACCGCCCTTCTGTTCATCTCCGTCTTGGCGCCAACGCTGCTCAACGTCCTCTACAGTGCACGTACTCGCTTTGACACGTTCAAGGCGTTTGCCTTTGCAGCTACTACGCAGCTGATCACCGTGGCGATGACTACGGCTCTTTTCTACCCGCCTATCCCTCCTGTACGTGTCCAAGGACGACCTGAACGCAGCTCGAAGCACAGCTCGTACAACAAATCTTGCAAGCAAGTCGACGTCCTGGTCAACAGGAACTATGTTCGATTGGTAACCGTCCTTGTCGCAACAGCTTTAAGTGCCTGCTTTGGTATCTTCATAGGCAACACCGCCAACGACAAAGCCTACTACTTTACACACCACCTATTCCAGGTAGGTCGACACTTGTCCTGAACTTCAGCCATAGCCACAATCTCCGATCCCTTCTATTTGGCTGGACATGGACGTACGGTCGCTGATTCCTTTTGACCTTTGGTATGCCTTTACGAGTCAGCTTTATCCACTCTTCCTCCTCCCTGCTCTGTTGATCGCTCCAGAGGGGCGCAGTGAGGAGTGTGCATCGGAGCATAATGCAGGCGTCCATCTGATCATCTCCAACTTTCGTGCTGTCAGATGGCTGTTAACAGCAGCCTGGTGGGTGGGTCTATTTGGCTTTTTCATAAGGCCGGTGTACCTATCTGACGGTGCAGGTGGTGACAGGTCGGCTTACTTCTCCCCCGTCTTGGCAGCTATCCGAAACGGTGACTGGTCCTTCAGTCTCCCGTCGGCTAGTACGATTCAGCTGGGACCTCGATTTTTGCTTGGTAACCTGGCCGCCACTGTCATCGGACTCTGGGCGGCGCAAATTGAGCTCGGGCACGCCCCAAATGTTCTCGAGGCCGTCTTGGCAGGTCCTGGAGCTGCCATGGCAACGTCGTTCGCTCGCACTTGGCGAGAAGCTCTGTAAGAAGCCATGTTTCCCAGTCTAAAGCTGATTGGCGGGCGCACTTGTCTCAATCTTCGAGGTGACATGTGTCCGTGCATTAAGTAATGTCGACGATCGATCGGACGATCTCAACTTAGCGGTGATTTCTTGCGACAATAGTGTTAGCGCAACCATTGGCAAACAGCAATACCGTACGGAGTGCAGCTTGTTGAGGGCAAATGCCGAGGCAACACTGTGACGTGACGGGCAACCTTTTCTGTTGTGCACTATTCGTCTCGAGACGCATACCGTAGGGCCAGGAAGTACGAGAGCCAACGTGTGAGAATGGTGAATCCTGAGGCAAACTCAGATTCGAACATGTCCCCTGGTAGCAAGATGGACGAAAAAGAGGATTTTAGCATAGCGAGCGCGAGTGGGAATTGAAAGCAGACATGTCCTCCTCGATTATTCCCCCGTAGCAGATTTCAGGTGCTATGAATAAGGCACTCGGCTTTATTGTGAAGGTCATTCGACATCGACACGCAGCCGGTATCTTGAGCAATTGTCACCAGGTCTGTGTGGCAAGGCTTCGAGTTACCACCGCGCAATTGTGGGACTTAGAAATATGACACAGCCCAACGCCATGGGAGGGGAGAGCCAGTGCGCCGACATCTCGGCTGTCTCCTGCGATCGGATCGTTCTTCCACTAGCAGGCTCTGTATGGTCGGGCGGTCAAAGATTTCCGCTGAAGCCTTTCCACGGAAGACGAAAGAGAGCTCACGACCAAAACGCAGTCCACGAGTGTCATTTGTTTCGTCGAGCCAAGCAGGTTCCACCTGAGTGGATCCTGAGCGGTCGAGCCTCTATAAAACGGAAGCGCATCACCTTCTCCGGAGATGCCGCACATCACGGCGACCATCTTTGAAGCTTGGGCACCAACTCTTTCGCCGCTGTAGCATCTGCAACCATCGACCAAGATGGACGACTCTCCTCCTAGCAGAACAAACTTGACTTGGTCCTACGATCGCCGTGGCCTTTTAACTGACACCCTTCAGCAACAGGAGCTCCCCTTACCCGATCTGAAGCCTGGTCATGCTCTGGTCCGTGTCCATGCCGCCGCTCTAAATCCCGTCGATTGGAAGTTGGCGTCAGCGATTCCCAGCCCGCTTCTCTTCTTGAACACCAACAGGCGCTCTGTTGCTGGGTTTGACTTTGCTGGCCAGATCGTCGCCATCAAGCCCGACCATGATCAAGATAAGAACGATCGTTCCGAGGGACCTGGCATCGGCGCGCGCGTGTATGGCATGGTCGAACCTAGAAACAAGATTTCACGTGGGCACGGGTCCATATCAAGATATTTGACAATACGAGCGAGCCTCGTGGCAGTCATGCCGGCCAAACTATCTTACATCGATGCAGCCGGCATCTCTTTGACCGCTATCACCGCATTGGCCATGACTCGATCAATCGAATCGTCAGAACGCGTTCTGCTGCTCGGCGCTGGTACAGCCGTCGGTCTGTTGGTATCACAACTGTGCCATGACCGCGGCGCAACAACGATCGGTACTGTGTCAGGACACAAGGCCGACATCGTGCGACGACGTGGCGTGGACGCCACCATTGACTGTAGGTCGAAGAACTCAATCATGGCCATGGAAAGCGAACCAGGCGGGAACGAATACATTTCGCTAGTGCGCTTGTTATCACAATTTACTGAGATAATCGACCGACTGGTCATTCCGTGGTTCTTGTGTGATGCAGATAACAACGTTGACGTCGTCGAATATCTCAAACATCATTACCAAGGTTCACCTTTCGACTGGATCCTCGATTGCGTTGGCTCTGATCTCAACACCTTCTACGAATCGCCATCGTATCTTGCACCGCATGGTACGTACTTCAACATTGGAGCTTCGGACATGCGGCCAGATGCCGGTCTTTTCACAATCGGATTCAGCAAGTTCAAGCAAATCGTCTGGACGCTTTTATGGCCTGTCTGGTTGGGAGGAACGCCGAGGAAGTACAATTCTTCATTTGGCGATCCACTCTCAATCAGGGAGGTGGAGACCCAGGTCAGGCAGGGTGTGTACTGGCCATGATCGTTCGATCTTCCTCCCCACATCATTTCACTAGTCCTGAGCTGACTTTTTTTTCTTGACCGCGGAGTAGGTGTACTCACACCCATCGTGGACTCGGTGTACAGCTTCGAGCAAGTGCCACAAGCGTATGAGAAGCTTATGGCTGGCAAAACTACCGGTAAGATCGTGATCAATCTCGACCAGCTCGACTAGCTCGCATCAATATGTAGTACAGCTCGCACAGCAGACATATGCCACAATTTTCTGTTTGGCTATGTAACGTTGACATCGAACATGTCTTGCCTCACTGTGAGCTGTAGAGGAGCTTAGAGTCAGGGTTCGGGTTGAGCAGTAGCGTCGCTGCTGACATCATTCATGCTCGCTGAAATGTGGCTGCCGCTCAATGTGTTGTCACCAATGAATGTCGTTTCAGATGCAAGCTCGTTCAGGCAGCCCAAAGAAGGTCGGATCGACCGTTCTCCGTCCTTCTCTACTTGTGACGCTGAGGGGATTGTGCCTGCTGCTCGAAACGAACGCACGCTTGGTGAGCCAGAGGTGAAACTCCTCATCACTCTCTGCTTTGTGGTGGACCACGTCTCATGTTCAGTGCGTGTCTAGGGCTGGTGACGTCGGGCAGGCCTGTACGGTGGCTCCCCCTTCTAACGTCATCGAGAGCGAGAATCTGGCAGCAACACATGGCGGTAACTCATGGCGAGACAAGGGAGCGCAGACCTGATAGCCCTAGTTTCTCGCTTTGATCCAACTCAACAGCATCTCAACAACGCGCGTATGGCTTCGAGGAACAAGTTGCACGCCCAAGCGGTGACCAAGGCCAGGTTGGAGCTTGTTCATGCCACACACGGTACGTGGACGAGACAGACAAAAAAGTGGCTGGACATGCTCGTGAGAAGTGAAGGCTTCTGCATCGGCGCCTTTGTGTATTTGTCGGCATTATGTTGAATACTATCGCGAGTGACATCGTCATTGAGGCCACCGACGGCGTGGTCGCTATTTCGAAGGGGCGACCTCAATTGGCACCCCGTCTGTTTTCCCGCAAAAGCAAGGTGGAAATTGCGCAGAATGGAGAGTTATAACCAACACAAAGTAAACAGGACCGTAAAGATAAAAGTAAAAGTAAAAAGAAAAGGAACGAGACGAGACGAGACGAGACGAAGGTGATGACTCCCTGCTGTTGCCCTGCAGTCGATGGCTTCCAATTTCGTCATAAAGATAAAATAAAATTCAAACACGAGCAACCACCTGCACATTCCCATCTGGGTTTCCCAAATCTGTGTCGGAACAGCACAAAAGATGAGGACAACGCTCCGAAGAGTTCGAGTGACCACGAACGATACCATGGAACTCCGTATTTGGAGATGGTGGGCCGTGTGATTCGTCGACGCGCGATTAGCCTCCAATTCAAGCGTCGAGTCCGAGAGGAGGAGCGGTATTTGCGTTCGTACAAGAAGTGTGGCAACTCGGCTTCGTTGTCTGTAGCGGTGTGTAGGTCGCTTCGTTACCACCCATGTCCCAAGGTAACGTGTCAGTTTTAGCCGCAAGCAAATTACACTTGGCCACGCAAGACACTGCCACGCGATCTCAACACCCAGAGACTTGGCATCGAGCTTCCAGTCTCGCTCGAGGCCCGCACAAAAAGGCTTGGCGCGACTGCTGTGACTTGCTCCACAGCTGCTTCCGGTTTGCCATGCATATGACTTTGGGAAGTGGCCTTGCGATGTAGCTTTGATTCCATCTACATGGGCAAAAAACATCAAGACACGAAGGGTCGGGGTCGTTCGCGTATGTTGAAAGTGTGACTGTTGCTTGGCTTTAGCGGGGAGCGACTCGAATATGCACTGCCTCCCGCTACGCCTCGAGCCAGAAACGTATATAACACAGCCCTTTTGTCAACTATAGGCACAGTTTTAGCACCATACCATACTTTCAGTTTCAGCACCATACCATACTTTCGTCGTCGCAAAGCAACAAAAAGCCTCCTCAAAGTTTAACCGTCTCCTCTTCGCCGTAGCGCTGGCCTTCGTCGAACGCCCCGGATGAGATCGATTCGGACGACTTTCCACCGCTTTGCGCCTCCTCGTGTCAGCCTCTTGTTGGAACAACCCAGAGATGCGACGATACAACAGACGGAGATGCCGCTTATCTGACTTGCGTCTGCAGCTCGGCTGACGCTTAAAGCTCTTTCCTAGCTGCGGCAGTTGCATTCGTTCAAACGGCGGTGACGCGGACAACGAGGCCATCGAGCTAGCGATTCGATGCAGTTTCGCCATCCAGAGCTCTTCTAGCAGTGCTATAGGAGGCTCTACATCGACTGGCTTCGTGACGATGGCCTCGTCTTCCCCAATGTCGGCGATGACCAGTAGCTCTGCAACCACAGCTCAGAGCACCAGTAGGTCCTTTTTTTGACACAGCGTTCCTCTGTGAAGTTCTCTGCTAATCGCAACCTTTATCCGTTATATTGACCGTTCATTCAGCAACGGCGGCTACTTCGGCTACGTCCACCTCTGGAGGTAGCGCCAACGCAGCCTCGCATCTTGACGTGTGGGCTGCAGCAGCACTGCTGCTGTTGTTCCCCATACTCGCACTTCTCTGAGCACACACGACCATGGCGTTGAGTACGGTACGGTCGATAGTTCAAAAAGGCCTGAAACTGTGTCAGTGGTGTACGGCACAATTGGACCCTTCTACACCAGGGCAATTCAACTAGTGATCTTCGTTGCCCTACCGTGAGGAGCAGCATGTGTTTTGATGAGCGAAGCGCGTACCATGCGGGTCGTCAGCCATCGGTGGACGCTCCTGCTCAAAAGCCAGGCAATAAATTAGGGCTCTACCTGTTTGACCATGACGAGCCCTGTACGTGTCGTGTACAGCGAGCTCGAAGCAGCGTTGGGGGGCAGTCTGTCGAACCCATCTCGGCTGGCGTGAATGGCTTCGAAAAGCGTTGTCTTCTCATCAAACACCTCGAAGCCCATGCGTTTATACATTTGCACCACAACCGCATTGTCGGGCTTGATCAGGATACGGAGTTGTCCAGAGCCGATGTATGTGAAACATTCCTTGCAGAGAAGTCGGGCAAGACCACGACCACGCATGCGATCATCGACGTAAAGTGCAGTCATGTGCCAATAGGCGCCATGCGGATCGTCTTGAAGAGAAGGCGATCTCGAAGAATCGGAGCCGGGCAAAACCTGGAAGGACGCGTCGTACTCCGATCGATTGAGAGGACCGATCAAGGTGACCTGGCCAACCCAGCCGTCTGTCTGCTGATCGACGCAGACGAAGATGGTCTTCTGCGGCTCCTGCAGACGTTGCAGCCGTGCCTGCGTATCTAATTGCTTCTCGATCTCGATGGTAGTTGAAAAGGCGTGCGGAGAACGCTCGAGCCCAGATATGCGGAGATCAGTGTACTTTTGAGCGTAGTCAGCGCGCTTCGAGGCGATCAAGTTTCCGTCAGAGATCCTGAGGACACGAAACATGATTAGACCTCTGTGAATCGATCGCGAACGATGATGGTGGTGAAGGAAAGCAGACTTCCAACAATATGAGCTGCCCACACGTATCGCGCACTTTGACATGTCGGACTTGTCGGAGATTTCGACCTGGGTCGGCAATATGTTGGCTTTGCGGGCATTATCTCGCAGTCTGCTCAGACTTGAAAGCGGTCAGAAAGCTCATTACCAAGCTCAGATTCTCAGACCTGAGTCTCAATGCTTGACTTGGTCAAGACGAACCGCTGTGGCATTTCCATTCGAACACGGGCTAGGTCTACAGGTCGAAGAAGTGTGGATGAGCAGAAAAGGCATGCTGTGAGACATTCGAATGGTGAACAGCCCTTAAAAGCCTGTGCGGCTACTTCCAGTACCTCCCAGAGCCGGTCGTTGCGGTAGACCCAGCCCTAAACCGGCCTGCGAACGTGCCTCTGTCGTTCCTGGCGGGGTGGTGGCAGGTGTGTTCCGTGGCGAAGCCGACAAGTCATGCGAAGCCGCCCCACGTGCTGCTGCCTTGTTGAGGGCAGCTATAGACGGCGTTTGACGCAAGGAGGGACCACTGGGACCACTTGACGCGGTACTGGGTTGGATCGGAGCAGCCGAGCCCACTACGCCGCCGCTTAAGAAAGATAACACCTTCTCCGAGCGGCTGAAGAAGGAGCTCGCGACACCTCCAGCGACGCCGACTGCGCCCGGGGTGAGGCTGTCAGACCGTTCCGACGAGACCGACGGCGATGCATTGCCATCCGTGCTGCGTCTGTCCTGATTGCCATGCGACATGGGAGCCACTGTAGGCGCACTGGGCGTGGAATGCAACGACAATGTCGCAGGAGTGATAACACGCGAGATTGGCGAGGGACGCAGCCTGTTTGGAGCAGGCGACACGAGACCTCCGCTGGCACCGTCCTTCAGGTCAAGAAACGTGCTTCTGATCGAGCTATCGCTGAGTCCACGAGGTCGCAGAGTGCGCTCGAGAAGGTTGCCGCTGCCTTTCAAATCATCATCCGAATCCTCCTCGCCGCTGTCGTCGAACACTTGCTGACGGATAGCCCTACCTCGATGGATGCTGATCTCGTCATCATCAACAATACGGGACAAGGGGCGCTGCCAGGATCCCGTTGTCTTCGAGACATCTCCTGTTTGTCTAAGGCCTGACAGACTACCACGAGCCGACTCAAGACCAGTGTACGATGGCGCCGCCAGGCTGCCAGCGAACATGCCAGACAAGTTCCGAGATTGCATGCGGGTGAGCGAAACTTGGGATCGGCCGCGTTGCGGGCGCGGTCCTGCGCGGAGACTGCTATTCACCGGCGTTTGAGGTGAAACAGACAGTCGTTGCTGCATCGACTCGGCTGCAGAGGCATGCGTGCCCCTGACCTCCACCGCGAGCGTTGACGAGACGACGGCAGGCGAAGCACGAGGGGCGAGGTGGCTCGCGTAGTTGCCGGAAATGCTCCTGCCGGTGGTCGGCCTTGGGCCCTTGGCGCCAGATGCGCTCGATGCGTCTGGCACTGTGAGAGCTGCAGCGGGCGAGCTGGCGCCCGACGATGATGTGGAAGGGGCACCACTATGACCACCTAACAACATCTTGCCGAGCCAGTTGACCGCGGATGGGATTGGGATCAATGATCGGTCCTCGGCTGCATTTGCACCGAGGTGATCGTGAAGAAGCTTGGCCGCCTGACCTGGACTCAGATGGATGTCGTTGATGCAGAGTCGCAGCTTGGCAAGTTCGCAAAGAATGTCGCGGAACACCTTGAGGAGAGCAAAGAATTCCTTCCTCGCGACCAGACTTTCGCCGGCAAAGTCCTTGGAATGGGCGGAGTTGTCGTCCCTGGCGTTGTTGCGAGATTCGGTCTCGATGAGCTTGCGGAAATGATCACGCATACCGTCGACGTCGCGAAGGATCGAGTGGACCGTGGTTCTGGCCAGGTGACCTGCATCGCCTGCAAGATTCTGTCTTTGCAAACGACGTGTCAGTGTGTCGACATCGGCCGTCGAAAGCCGGTTGAAAAGGCGGTTGATGTACTCCAGAAGCTGACTTAGCTGCGCGGTGCGGCTTTCGCGACGTGTAGGATCAGAATGCAAAAAGTCGGCAGTGACCTTCTCGGTATCGCGGCTTGTCGCACTGGAACGAGAGCTCGGAGCAAAAGAGTTTGAATCTGTGGGTTGGCTTGTGGCGCTACTATCCGCAGTGTAGGCCAGAGACTCGCTGCGGGTGACAATGGTTGCAGGGCCATCTGCATTGGGTGACATGGGCGGGAACGTGAAGGACCCTGTCGAATACGCCTGAGAGGTCATTGATGGGTGAGTCGCAACACGTTGTCCTCCTGCTGCATCGCCGTGAACATCGCACTGCAGCTCGCGCAAGTTTGTATCGTTGACGGTCGACTTTGATGTGGGAACGTGCGCAAGCGAGCTGGCGAGGCCTCCAGCTTCAGGATAGGAGGACGATTGGCTGTCAAATCTGCCCAAATCTGGGGCTGGTGACGCGACCAGGGTGATGGCATTGGAGACGGAGCTGCGCAGGGTATCTAGCTCTTCGTTGCAAGTGTCGACGAGGCTCCTGAGCTTGTCGTTGTCATTGCGCAGAGCTTCATTGTCGCGGACGAGGTCGCCGATTGCCTGTGCGTGGTCTGCGTTGTCGCTTTGATTGGACGCATTGGTGGCCGATGAGAACGAGCGCTGGTGATGGAGGCCACGAGTCAAGCGTTCCCGTGCCGATCGGATTGCATGGTCATCGAAGAAGGCCCCGGTGGTAACGGCGGCATCGACGGTGGTCGCTTTGCGCGCGTTATTCAGGGCTTCTTTGAGCTGAAGGGACTTGTATTCAAGCTTCCGCGACCTGGCATCTGCTGTCTGTGCGCGTTTGCGTTCGGCAGCGAGCTCCTGTTTGAGATCATCGAGCTCGCGCTCGAGCGATTTGACCCTCTCGTCCGCGCCGGCTAGTCGGGACTGCGAAGCCTTGAGTTTGGTGAGTTGGTTGCGGGCGTCATCGAGCTCGTGCAGAAGAGCACGGTTGCTGCTGTCGCCTGCTTCGAGGTTCAAATTGGTTTGAGCCAGCTCGCGCTCGAGAGCGGAAGTCTCCTTGTAGCTCTTGGTCAAGCGGGTCATGAGACCGTCGCGCTGCTGCATATACTCTTCGGCCTGCTTCTGTAGCTTTGCCTGCATGGCATCGTGGCGGCGAAGTAGAGCTTGGCCGATCTCGGCGCTAAGACGGAGGTCAGCTTCGAGGTCACGCCATTCTTGACGCGCACGTAGGGCACGAGGGCAATCCTCTTTGTTGCAGCAGCAGGTGCATCTATCCTTCTCGGGTGCCTCGCTGCGCCGATCGAGACTGTGCTGACTCGTGCTGGTTGGAATTGAGTCTGCATCATGCGCGAGCGAGCCGGCGAGGGAGTCTGGATAGAGCGTCTGACGATTCATACGGAACTCGCTGATAATGTTGGTGAAATCTTCGATGGTCTTGGATTGACGGACGCTGTTTTCGATCTGGTCCATGTTGGTGGGATCAGCGATAGAAAGCATCGACGCTGACATATCTTGGTTGGCCTCGTAGATGGAGCCTGCGTGCGATCGAGTGCGGACGCGTGAGCGGCTGGGTGACTTGTCGGAATGGTATTGCGACATGGTTGTGGCGGTGTCGCTGGTGCGATGAACAGCTGGGCTGGACCTGGATGGCTCCTCCTCCTCTAGAATCTCTGCAGAAGGCTGACGTGATGTTGAAGCATGAGATACAAAGCTGGCTGTGGAAGTGGAGGAGTAAGTACGCAAGTGATGAACTGCTTTCTTGGCACGACTGAGGCGAAGGTCATGAGAAGCAGCAAGCGATAACCCAAGTCCGTCCGCGCCTTGGGAGGAGCCCCGCTCTGAAGAGGAGGGCGACTCCGAAGCGCTGGACTTGGTTGAACTGCCAAACGAGGTGTCGTGAGCGCTATCAGAATGCGACGAGGACGAGAAGAGATCGGATGCGGATGTGTCGTTGTCATGCAGCCCAGGCGAAGAAGGCAGCGTGGGCGAGCAAAGGGAGAGTCGCTTGAGATGACGTGGTGCCGGAATGGTGAAAAGCGAGATGGTCGCTCGCGACGCGCTGAAGTGCGTCTCAAGCTCAGACAGGTGTATAGGATGGTCGAACGATGTTGATTGCTGTTCACAAAAGTAGGTGTGCTGGAAGGGCAGGCTTGACGACAAGATGCGAATCAAGGAGGCTCCTTCGCCGTGCAATTGCAAGATTGATGATGTCGCCCGTCCTTTCGATGTTGCGGAGGCGTCTCTGGATGAGCGGAAGTCGGTTGAAGGCCGCGATGGTGTGTGTGAAGATGATGGACAGAGCGGTCGCACAGTAGCCAGTGAAGCGTGATGCCGCGGCAACACAACACAGACAAGGACGCGGTGTTGGTCTCGGCAGATTTGATTTGCATGTGTATGTGTTTATGCTCTGTGTTTGGATTTCGCGGGAGAACACTGCTTGTTTGCTGCAGCACGTCTGCAGCCTCGGTACTCGGAGTAAAAGTACATTTCACAGGTTTTTTTTTTCCCAGAAATTGGGTTCGCAGGCAGGCTACAGTATAGCGAGCCAGCGACACGGGCGAGCGTCGAAGCTTGACAACATCAGACTGCTGTGCTACGCTCGGTGGGTTACATGCAGCTTGCTCTCTTTGACAGCTCTCCCGGCTCCTCTTTGCGCGGTGCACTCTGTGTGCTGAAAGCGTGGACACTGGCGTGAACAAGACAGTCGCGGCCTTCATTGTGAAGTCGTTGCATAAAGATCATCCTGAGGCTAACAAAAAAGGTCGTTCAAGTGACTCCTCAATCAACTACACTTCCACAGTCTAAAGGCTGCTGAATGGTTCGCCTTGCTTCTATGCCACCTATCTTGCCTCCTCAGCGTCGCCTTAGCCGCAACTTTCGTCTCTGCACTTGCCCTCCTCGCAAATTTGTCTGCCTTGATCTCCTGCGCTTGCTCTTGCTCGTCCGTCATCGAGATCCTCGCCCACCCTTTGACGTCCTGCTGCTTCACGAGTAAAAGCCTTTCTAAAAGGCAAGAGGGAAAGCGGAATTTGCGGGAATTTGATGTAGGTGGTGAAGCCAGGACGTTGCGACATTTGAGCCATCGCAGCGCAATTTGCATCCATGTGCATTGGCTTGTGGAAGTTGCCATATGCAGGCTTGTCTGCGGCATGCTTGCGCTGTTGATCAGCATTGGTAGCCACATCCACGTCAGGATTGCAATATGCAGTCCTTCCTGAAAGAATTACAGCACATGTTGGCAAACTTATTCAGCACTCTGCACTACTTGTAACTTTTGCAGCCTTTTGCTCCTTTGAATGGCTGCTGCAGGATGGCGAGGGCAACCATGGTGAAGACCGGGTCGGGGCTTCTAGGGTGGTCTTGCCTGGTTGCCATGGTGTTCATAAGGAAGTGGAGATCACCAAAGCAACCGGCCGTCTTGGACGAGGTCGCTGACATTCAGCAGGAACTCGGTATCGCCGTTGATCTCCACCGGCCCGTCCGCCTTTGTCAGGCTGGTGCGATCCACCACAAGGAAGCGCGAGACCCCGTCTGACCCATCTGAAGAGGTACAGGCGGCCACCTCTCTGCGCACTCCGCCAAGGCCAACAGGTCCATCGCTGCACCTAATGCAGGCGTACGTTTTACAAAAAAATCGACCTGGGCAGCCGCCCCTTCGGGGACGAGCTGCCGAACAATAGTCCAAGTCCAAGTCTTTTTTTCAGTTGAGCGGCATCAACGCCCTTATCTACTACAGTGGTACTCTCTTCTCCCAATCGATCGGCCTTGACAGCAAAAAGTCGGCTCTCATGGCAGGATGGAGGACAACAGTGTCCAGAGGAGGCGGCGAGATTGGTTCCAGCAACGCTGCAGGACGAGCTGCATTGCTTGACGCACCCGCATCGGATGACCAGACGGGGCGGGGTCGAACTTGGGCTCAGCAATGCGCAGAGCTGGCCGCTCGGCGACCGAGGAAGGTCGATGCACAACGGAAAAGGGTGGAAATGCGTACACGATCACACATCGCACGGGCGCTCTTGATAACAGACGATTTTTGAATTGCTTTGTGCGTTGACCCTAAGAGGATGTGTTACTCTGCTTCTTGCCTTCAAAGTACTGCGGGGGAGGAAGACAGACAAGAGTCGTCGAGTCAGCGTGAGTGATGATCCGTATCGCACGTTGTGAAGCTGCTTACCTTTCCAATCTTTGCAGTAACGTAACGGAGCGTTCTGGTAAAGCCTGCCGTGTATACACCCTTGATGGACTGCGACCAGGCCGGGCCTTTGACTGTTTGGCTGATCTTTTGGAGGAGCACTTGGCCAAAGTCGTCTCTCTGCACGGCTGCCTTCCAAAAGGCATTCAAGACCTCTTCGCGCTCGATGCTCGACGGCCTGCGAGGCACCGTGTCGAGCGTCTTGGAGAGAGACAACTTCAAGAACGCTGGATCGAGATCCGGTTGGCTCGTGTAGTGATCTTGCACCTTCTGTCGCAAACATCTTGGTAGACGAGCAGCGTAGGAAGCTCTGGTTGAGGCCGAGACATCCTGCAGAATCCTGAAACGGTTGTCTCTGACCTCCTCGATGGACAGCGTGCCCAGGTTGCGCATGAGCCCGGCGTACAGACGTCTGAACTCTTCGCGTTGATTGAGGACAATGTTGCGCACTTTGTTGGCATTCTCGCCTCCGGGCACCGACATCCTGAAGTCACCCGTGTAGCTAAGTGAGGCGATGCGTGTATAGAGCTCCACCTCGCTGAACTCGCGTGGGAGTAGAAGAAGTGCGGTACGCAACGCCGAAGCGAGGTTGACTTGCTGCGCTAGCCGCACCCTGGCATCCGAGGTGACGAGCGCGACGGGCTTGTGCATGCGCCCACTTACGTAGAGCGTCTCCCAGTCGAGCAGATCGGTGCAGAGGTCGTCGACGCTGATGACGCCGTACTTGACCAACTCGTCGTCGAGCCTGATGTAAGGGTTGTACCAGATCTTGGCTCCCCTGGGCTGCACGAGTGAGATGCCGATTCCTCCGAGGAGGCGACTGAGCATGGCGTAATGTCTCGGATGTTGGGCCATGTTGAGCGAATGCCAGTGATGTGGATGTGTGACGGCCATGATAAAGTCGATCATCTTCTTGCCGTCCTTGGTCTGGGGGCGCTTCGAGTGCTCTGGACCGGCTTCGCTCTGCGAGAACACGCCCGAGCCGTAGGCAAATGCGAAGCGCACTGGAGCATCAAAATTTGCGAGTATTCCGTGCAGTCGTTTGCTCGTCTCATCGGAGACTGGCACGAGCTGATTTGATCCGAACGATGGCGGGAAAGAGGATGGAGGAAACTTGGTCTGCGAAATGGGGCTTGTCGGAACAAGTCGCTGGGCGGCGTTGGACGATGCCGTCCGTGACGAAGTCGCGATGTTACCTGATGATGATGACACAAGCGTCCGCCGCGCCCTCTGTACAGAGTCGGAAGAGCTGTGTGTGAAGCTTCGCGAGCCATACGAGTGGCTGCTGATAGTAAGGATCCGGGTGGAAGAGCAGCGCGCAGCGGCCGCTATGCCCAGGGCTGGCTGTGCGACGGACAGCATGCTTGGATGCTACAACAAGCTGTTGAGAGAATGATGCATTCGTCTACGTCGAGAGCAAGAGTGACTATGCATAGAAGGAGGGACGAAGAGTGAGAGAAGCAAAGGTCGGCGTGCCCGCTGACTGTCAGGAATATTTGTCATTGCAGCATGAGGCTCGCTTGCAGCGGGAAGAAGAACAACGCGAAAGAGTTGTTCCTGCGAATACTCCACATGAATTTCTTCTCAATCACTTCCTTCGCCCGCGGAGGCTGCGACGCGAGCGAGCCGGTGAGCAAATGCAGCTCCTGCAAGTTCTGCAGTAGTGGGTCTAACCTCGTCAATCACACGCAGCAATGTGGTACATCACCCACTCTCATATCTATGGAGCCAGAAACTGCGGGTGAGAGGCAAACCAGGCCTCTGATTGATGCATTAATCTGACAGAGGAGGCGGGACCGAATCCGGGTCGATGGCGTCTTCATCTTCCTCTTCTTCGACGTCGGTAAATTGCACGATGGGTTGAGAAATGGAGGCTGCAACAACGAGAGGCGTCAAGTGAGATATCGCCGAGGTCAGTGACATGTATATAGACCGATTGAATTGCAGCGTGTCGGCTGTGCACTTACAGGCTCCATCGGCACGGAAACCGACGCAGACGGCATCCGAGTCCTTGAGACCAGCTTTGCGTACCGAGAGATCCGACTGCTGCGCCGTGTCTTGGTCGAGAGGCATGAAGACGGTCATACTATCGTCGCTTCCGGCAGCGCTAGCGATGAACAGACCAATGTCGTGCTCGCCATCCATCTGACCCCATGATGGGTACGACTTTCCGTCCGGCTGTGAGAATTGTGGGAGCGTCGACAGCTCCGGCTGGTTGGTGGACTTGATGGCTGATAGGAAGTCAGCTTTGAGTGTGGATATCGGTGTGGTAGGTTGGCATGCGATGAAGAGGGTAGTCTTGTGGTACTTGAGGCGCAGCACCAGCGCATCCTTGTTGTCCGTCAATGATGGTGGCTGTGCAGTCGGAAAGCGTCAGCTGAATGATTGGCCCGGCACAGTACGGCGGTAATGACGTCGATCATGTTTACTTACCATGCCTGCTATATGCTCGATGCGCGGTGCGACACCGTGCCGTATGCGATGCTTGTGACGTGCAACAGAGAGAGAAAGGAAGGGTAGCGAGTAGCGAACGTCGTTCGGAAAGGTCAGCAGTCCCTTAGCAGGCGACGACGCAGCAAAGCTCTAATACCCAAACATGGATAGGTGATGCGATCTGACAATTTCCGTACTTTTCTCCAAATTGCGGGCGGCTATCGCGCTTAGCTGCCTGGTCAAGAGTCTGTGCAGGCGTCGTTTCGAAGAAGTCGGGCTAGAGACGCTGCGACCCGTAGAACCCGACGCGCAACTTCGAGCATTATATGAGATTGCGAGAGTGCGATGGTCATGCAGGTGTTGTGTTCGCTTTCAAGCACATATCTTTGACATTCGGTCTGAGGCACAACCACAGTGTGCCTGTACGACCTGATGAACTACTATCGCCAGTGACTGAGTGGGCATCTCAGATGTTCTGCAAGCCTTTCGAGTCAATGCCGCTCGTGAGCTGTGTACTATATAATCTGCTCTCTATTTCGAATCGTGAACTGAGGTCTCTCATCCGCACCACACCCTCCCCTCTCTAGTAGGAACCAACGATCGAGTATTCTGACAAGGTAAGCATCGCTCACCCCGACTCAGAAGCCTCTGTCGGATGATCCGCATATGCCGGCAGTGGTCTTGACGAACCTGCCATGCGGCAATATTCGGCGCCCTGACACCGTGCACTCCTCCTCCACCTCGCGAAAGTTGACCCGGTCGGGATTTCGCACTGAGCCACAGAGCCGGTGATGCAGCCGAACAGATGATTCAGCCAGCTTGTGCGCTTGCGGCACCCCCGCACACTTCCTCGACCAGACTCACCTGCTGACCCTCTGACCATCGACATTCTTCCTTTTGCTTGCTCGTGTCCATCGCTCCGACTCCATCCGACGACCATCCAGCATCTGCGTAGCATGCTCCGTTCAGCAGGCCGATCAATCCCACGTTCTGGTCTCTGCCGCTCCACCCTTTCAACGTCCGCTCATCTAGCCAAACCATCTCTCCTCGCGTTTGCTCCCATCGCTTCCCGTGCACTCCACAACACTGCACCTGCCAAGATGCCGCAGATGCCTCAAGGAATCGCCAAGGGCGGCAAGGAAGACCTCAAGCTCAGCAATCAGTCGCTCTGGCAGACCAAGGCCTTCATCAACGGATCATGGGTTGGTTCGGACAGCAACGCTACCCTCAAGGTCTTCAACAAGGCCACCGGCGCTGAAATCGGCCAGGTACCGGACATGGGCGCCAAGGAGACCACTGCCGCCATCGATGCTGCCCACGAAGCGTTCAAGTCTTGGTCCAAGACTACAGCAAAGCACCGTCACGATTTGCTCATGAAGCTCTACTACGCCCACCAGGACAACGCCGACGACCTTGCCAAGATCATCGTCGCCGAAAACGGCAAGGCGCTGCCCGAGGCAAAAGGTGAGATCGGCTACTCGAACGGCTTCCTCGAGTGGTTCGCTGAGGAGGCCACTCGTACCTACGGACACACTGTTCCGTCGCCACTCCCCGGTATCCGCAACGTCGTCCAGATGCAGCCTGTTGGTGTCGCCGGTCTCATCACTCCTTGGAACTTCCCCGCGGCCATGATCACCCGTAAAGCTGCTCCCGCTCTTGCTGCAGGGTGCACCGTCGTCATCAAGGCACCCGCCGAGACGCCTTTTTCCGCGCTGGCTTTCGCTCACCTTGCTGAAAAGGTGGGCTTCCCCAAGGGCACCATCAATGTCGTCACCTGTGCCAAGGGCGACAACGAGATTGCCGTAGGCAAGGAGCTCTGCGAAAACCCCACTGTTCGCAAGATTTCTTTCACCGGCTCCACCCGCGTCGGAAAGATCCTCATGAGCCAGTCCGCCTCCACGCTCAAGAAGCTCTCGATGGAACTCGGCGGCAACGCTCCCTTCATCGTCTTTGAGGATGCTGACCTCGACAAGGCGGTTGAAGGAGCCATCGCTTGTAAGTTCCGAGGCTCCGGTCAGACGTGCATCTGCGCCAATCGAATCTACGTTCACGCCAACGTCAAGGACGAATTCCTCAAGAAGCTCGCCGCCAAGGTCGACGCCTTCAAGGTTGGTTACGGCATGGACGAGGGCACCACCCACGGTCCGCTCGTCAGCGAGGCCGGACTGCACAAGGTCGAAGAGCACGTAAACGAGTCGGTCAAGAAGGGCGCCAAGATCATCGTCGGTGGAAAGCGTGGCGAAGGCCTCTTCTTTGAGCCCACCGTCATCACCGACTTGCCCGAGGATGTACCCACCGACCGCGAAGAGACTTTCGGCCCTCTCGCGGCTGTGTACACCTTCACCAGCGAAGAGGAGGTGGTACGAAAGGCCAACAACGTAGATGTGGGTCTGGCCGGCTACTTCTTCTCCAAGGACACGGCTCGCTGCTGGCGTGTCGCCGAGGAGCTCCAAGTCGGCATGGTAGGTATCAACACGGGCCTCATCTCACAAAACGCCGTGCCGTTCGGTGGTGTGCACGAATCTGGTTTCGGACGCGAAGGAGGTCGCACCGGCATCGACGAATACATGGTACAGAAGCTCATGGTGTTTGGCGGTGTCAACTGATGTAGCCCATAATGCTCGTAGAAGCAGGATGCAATCTCGATTCAAGGTGTCTGACATTGGATGTGCGCGCAATCAATTGGCATGCATGAGTTGACGGCTGCCTCGGCTGCCGAAAGCGCGGGATGAGTGAATGTTGCCGATCGGCACGACACTCTTCGGCTATGCCGTCCAGCCGTCTAGAAGTGCAGCGATAGGTCGGTATTCCACCAGATGGCACTCTAACGCATTCGTCTGTTTCGAGTGCGAGCTGGCATCACGTCGGTACATGTCGAGGACCGTCGATCCTGAAGCATCCGTCTCGGGCTGCATGTTCGGCAAGAGCACGGCAAGCTTGTACCAGCCACCTGATGTCGTCAGTGCAATGAGACGAAGCTGTTCTGCCACGGTCGAGGTCGCATCGACAATGTGGCCCGACCGATCGGACTCAGCGCGACTGCGCGGTTTGCTTGAACGTGCTGGAAGATCGCCCGTCGCGAACCTCTTGGGCGGATTCGTAGATCGGTCGGTTGATGTGCTCGCTTCAATAACCCAACACAAAAAGATGCTCTCCTCGACACTTGGCTCCCCTTTGCGAATATCACCGATGCGGCTGCGCATTTGTGCCCAAGCGCCTTCTGTCGACTTGTCGGTACCCGTACGTTTTGATAATGAAGCAGCTTGACCGCCGCCACCGTCCGTCATAGATGGCGCGTCGTTGTAGTGACGAGAGGATGCGCCGAAGCTTTTGAGCGGAATTCGGAATTGAGCGCTACTCCATTCGGATTTCAAATACTGCGGCAGAACCGAAGACGGGATCTGACCAGCAAGATTTCCTATGCCTGATGGCAGGTACTGCGCCGCAGCACGTCCGAAAGTGGCGGTTCGAGAAGACGAGGTCGATGAGCGCTTTTCAGAATCGACTGTATTGCTATGAGCGGTCAGCGCCCTGTCGTCGAGCAAGTAGACGTGGACAGTGCCTTTATCACTCGCAGCGGCAACGAGCGAGGCGTCTGGGCTGAAAGCAATGCTCAAAATGGTTGCAGGATCTGTTCCGCGACGAAGTTGGCGCGTCAATTTCGCACCGAATCCCGTTCTTCCAGGAGTGCTCGACGGGGATGCTGATGCAGAGGTTCGGTCGTGGCGAGCAGAGGATTCGGCATCTGCTCCGAGGCTATTGGCCCATATGCGAATCAACGTGCCTTTGGACGATGCAGTCGCGAGAAAACGTGCGTCAGGACTGAGCGTGATGGCTGCTAATGATGATTCGTGGGCAACGATGATGGAAGCGGCACCATGCGACGAAGCCGTATTCGACAACAAAGGGAGGTTGACAGGATTGACAAGGCTCTGCGGCCGGATGTGTAGAAGCTGGACGTGACCTTTCTGCCGGCCTGGAACGGCGACCACCACGCTTGCGTGTTTGGGAGAGGTCGCCGAGGGACTTCCATAGTGGGGTGCAATTGACCCGAGTCCTCTGGGATTCTTGTAGGTCTGTACTGCCGTCCTCTTCTGTATCGTCCAGTTTGACCTTGCAGCAGTGCCGTCCAAGCCAGGAGTCTTGGCTGGGGGTGAGAGCTCGAAAACGACGGCCTTAGAATCCAAAATGACCAGCAAAACGACGGAGAATGGTAAAGAGCTTGGTTTGCTCGAGCTCGCGCTTCCGATTGCAGCGCGACCTTTACCTTTCCACGCTTGCGTCTTGTGGATGTCGGTTCCGAAGTGCACCGATGTCGCATAGATCCCGCGGACGACTTGACTGAACTCTAGCTCGGCAATTTCGCGCCCATGCATGATCGTGGGCTTTGCTTTAGCAGTGGCGTCGGTGGCAGTGGTAGCCATGCTCGAGACGGAGTCGACAAGTCCAACACCGGTTTGACGACTCGACTCGTTGAAGAACACGCCTGCGGGGGTGATTGCGGGCCCAGTGGCTCTGAGAGGCAGGGGGTTCGATGACGAGATGGAGCCGGAGTTGATGGGATGCGATGACACTGCTGAGGAGGAGCGGCGCGAAGCTGGCTGTGCCGAGCCCGCTGAATGCAGATCTTCCTCGGAGAAAGGGTCGGCCAAGTTCGCAGAGCTCGACAAGATGGAGTTGGATTGAAAAGAAGAGGACAATCTTGCTATCGAGTCCTCAGCCATCGTGGACGACGATGCGGAATCCTTGGATGCATTCGGATCGGAGGAAGCTTGAAAGCAGCCAGTCCCTGGAGAGCTCTCGCCAAAACTTCGATCCAGGCTGTTAGGAGATGTATGACCACGTTTGGTGATGTCAGGATCGGCGATGGGCATGGAGGTATGGTGGAAATCGGCGTCATCGATCAGCGATGAGGTCGACACATGCCCAACAGAAGAAGCGGGAAGGCCATGGGTTCGAACTGCGCCTTCAACATTCTCGGAGTCGTCAGAAGCGGGCTTAGCGTACGCATCGAATTCGGAACCTGCAGAAAAGATGGTGGAAGCGCGACGGGACGATACGGAGCCAACATCATCCTGGTCATCGTCTGAATCAGCATCGCGGGATGTGCTTGCCGATGGTTTGGCTGTGTATTCGGCCGCCTCGTCCCAAAGGATGACCTTGTTCGGCGAAAAGCGGGGAACCCGACCGCCACCCACGAGCAAGAGGAGGGAAGTGTGCTGGACAGGAACCGCATGAGACAGGCCACCCTGCGACGCGGACCAAGATCGATTGACAACAAGCTTGAGAGGATCTGTCTGTGAGACCATGAAGCCATTCTGGCTGGCGCAACTGAAGATGGCAGGCTGAGTGAGCTCGTTGATGCTGGCGCTTGCAGCTGCGCCTGTCGGTGCCGGGCCCGACGTGGACGAGCTGCGAAGATTGGTCGGATCGGGCGAGCAGAAGCTTGCATGTCGGAACAGTGGAACAGAAGCGTGCGATTCAATGGTGTGCCTAGGGAGATGCATCTTGAAACGGCCCGCACGAGCTACGGCGTTAGTCAAAGTCCAGGTGAGGCCTGCATGTCAGGCTTGCTCCTCCTCGTCCTGCGCGAGCACCCGCCAGCAGCAAGCTGGAGTTTTGTTCGTTGCTGTGCTCCGAGAACCGATCCCTGAGGGCGCTGAAGTATCTTCCGACGAAGATGCTGTCTGTCGCGAGAGTTGTTGGTGTGTGTCGGGGAACGGCAATCGACTCCAGCTCGTCGGTAATGGCAATCAAGGGTCCTATCACCAAATAATCAAGGCGGAGAGCGTGTGCGTCGCACCAACTCGACTTGCTCAGCAATTTTGTGAGCATGTTACGTTGGCACTATCCTGCAATTCAAACGCCTCGAAAATTGACGTTCGGCTCCGTTTGAGATTCGAGGTTCTGCAGGTGCTTCTCATCATGCTGCATACCGTCTTGCTACCACCTGCACATCCTTTCATCCACGGACATCGAGCATCGCATCCATGGGGAAGCACTACTGTGACTACTGCGATGTCTTTCTGACTCACGACTCGGTGTCGGTTCGCAAGGCGCACAACAGCGGCCGAAACCACCTGCAAAACGTGCGCGAGTACTACCAGACGCTCGAACCGGAACACATCCAGCAGGTGCTCGACACCCTAGCGCAAGAATATGATCGTCGCGGCATCGAGAAACCTAGAGACTTGCTGCAACCCGCCGGCTCGTCGTTCATGACTTTCGGCCCAGGCCCACTCAGCGGTGCTCCAGATCGATGTAAGTGATCCTTCAACCGAAAGCTCGTGCTCGTGATGGGATGCGCTCAGGATTTACAGTAACTGAACATCTCACTTGCACCACTTTTTTCTCCAACAGCTTTTCGCCCGCCGCAAGGTCAAGCGCCAAGAATGCCGATAGGTGGAGGGCCGGATCGCCGCGGCGACTCCAGAGGATCTTCGGGCGGCTATGGACGATACAATAATAACGAGATGTCATCCAGAGATCAGGGCGCACACCAAAACTACAATCGCCCACCTCCTCAGGGAGGCCCCTACTCCCGACCTCCTCCCAACATGATGGGCGGCGGACCACCGGGAGGCAGCAACGGCTCGTACGCGCCAAGGGGTCCGCCTCCCGGCTATGGAGCACCGCCGCCGGGGCCGTACCCATCCGGGCCACCACCCAATATGCGCGTGCCTCCACCATCGCTTGGCTCGAATGGCTCCTACGCACCACCATCAAGGTCAGGCTACGGGCCTCGTTGACACGTAGTCCATGCATTTGGCTTGTACCAGTACCGCTGTAACGATCCTCAATTTGTACACTAGCACGACCACGAACACTCTTGCATTTCGAACTCGAACCACACAGCCGAAGAGCATGGGGATTTATGCAGCGATGACGTTGGGAAAACAGAGCCGAACAGCAGATGGCGTTAAGGATGGGGCCTGTTTGTGAACGGTGCCAAGCTAGGTTGCAGGTCGTAAGGCACGCAACCGTTCGGCGAGCGCATCGTCTTCCTTCTCCTTTACCTTGCCATCTGGTACCTTGGGTGCCAAGTCGGCAACTTTGTTTTCGAGCGGACCACCTTCGCCGAGTTTGTGGTTGATCTCGATGCCGTTCTGGTCGGCTACTTGCTGCATAAGCAAGTCGACCTGGTCTTGCGGCATGGATTGCGCCGTGGTGGCACCTATGGTGCCTTCCATGTACGACGTCTGCACGTCCATATCTTCGAATTGGGTTTCGAACTTGTCCATGACCATGGATATGCGCTCGAGGTTCATGCTCTCCATGGCCTTGTCCATGCCTTTGACCACGGATGCCATGCTACCGGACACCTGGCGCATGGTGACGGCGGTCTCGACTCGACTGGCTACGGCATCGATGCGACTGCCCAGCCGCAGCAGGTTGAGCGATTCGTTCTTTTTGCGGATGGCGTTGGCGGCATAGATGCGCGCGCCTTCCGTGTTGCCTTGTGCGAGCGCCTTTTTCAGCTTTGCCTTTTCGGCGGTCTCGTCCTTGGTGGCTTTGCGCGCCTGTCGCTGGAGAGATTTGGCTGTAAATTTGAGCTGGAAGAGTGACTTTTCGAGGCCGGACATGATGAAGCAGCGCTGTGGCGATCAGCGGTGTATCGGTTGGCTAGGCACCAGCCAGACAGGCTGCAGAGTTCCGACAAGCGTACGGGCGAGGATGTTGTCGTCGGATTGGCCGAAATGAGAACGAGACCCTTCAAGATTGTTGTTAAGGACGGACGCTGCACCGAAAAGCGGATGGAATGGGTCGGATCGACGGTGGTCTGGAGATGAGTTGCGGATACGAGCAATGGTGGTGAGCATGATGGGATGGCAGAGCGGACTGCGATCTAGCGACTTGGCGCACGGCCACGCCGACAGTCAACCCTGATTGCTCCACAAAAATCTAGGATAAATATCACACGCTCGACACGCCCAACACTCGAGACCGATTCCCGAAGGCTGCTAGCTCACCTTTGGTTGCATCACACTCGGGCTCACAAGCATTTGTGTAATCGAGACACACTCTATGTCGGAAGAAACGCTGTCGACATGATTAATGGGATCTTGAACGTGGAGAAACTAGGTATGCAGTGATAGTACAAGATGATTGTGAATTGGGATGGATTCGGGGCGTTCGATGCTCATGCTGCCAGTTCGCGCGAGCCTTGGGCATACCCGCACTGGCTGCACTTTCGACCAGCTTCGTCATTGACCCAGCTTTCGATGATTGGCTTGAGCTGCGTGCCGAGATCTGTGCACTGAAACTTGACCTCCTTTACCAGCGTGGGTTTGTCGCCGTGCGCCTGCTTGTTTGGACAGTACCATCGCATGGCGTCTGGGCTGCCTTCGGGTCTTGTGCGCTCCACAACGATGCCGACGGTGTTTGCAAATCGGACGGGCGAGTGGGGCGTATTCGCTAACAAGCAAGAAATGGATCGACGATTAGAGTTAGTTCGACGGATCGATTGCACCTCGTCCCCGACGCCATCGGTTGCCGTACTTACCCGGAAGCATAAACATTTCGCCTTCTTTGATCGGGATGTCCTGGAACTTGCCGTCTTCATCGATCACCTTGAGTAGCATGTCGCCCTTGTACTGGTAGAAGAATTCCTCGGTAGGTTGATAGTGGTAATCTGATCTAGCGTTAGGACCGCCGACCGCCATGACGGTGTAGTCCCGGGTGCGGAAAAGGCAAAAGTTGCCGACGGGTGGCTGCAGCAAGTGCTCGTTCTCCGAGAGCCACTTGGGAAAGTTGAGCGGCAGAGGGAACGGCATGATCGTGATTGCGATTCTGATGTGACGGGTGACGGTGAGTAGACAAAAAGCAACATACGACAATAGCCCGAAAAGTATCTTGGAGCGTCAGCCGCCACAACGATTGCAGAAATAGCAAACCGCAGGAACGAGCCACGAGGATTAATCTCCGGCTTCTGTGAGCTCAGTAGTATCGTAGATGCCGTAAGGAAGCCCAAATGCATTGCCAGGGACGGTGTGCTGCGCTGCGCCTCGCCGTGACTAACTTTGTCTGCATCGGCACACCATTTTCTTGCCGTGATGTTGAACGAAAGTGAGATCTCACATCCAGGGTTTCTTTCTCTGGACGGAAGCTACCCGAAAACCCAAATAGCTCGGCTTTGGTCGCTTCGGTCCATCAAATCAACCAGCTTCTCCACACTTTCAACAACCATCACCGCTCCACTCATCGATTCGCCCCTACAACGCAAACCGCCCGCATCATCGAGGAGCTCTCCACCTGCCGTCGTGCCCGTCATGCATCGGATCTAAACACCGTCAACACGCTTGGCAGCCTGTCTCTCCTCTATTCAACGGCTAGGGCCGACCAGATACGTACCACCAATATCTCTCCCAGCCTCGTGTCCTTTGGCGGCGCAACCATTCTTTCGGTATGGGACGCCTCACTCAGGGCCATTTTGACGATGTGTTCCTCAGCAAGATCAAGCAAGCATGCGTCCGCGTTTTAGACCAGCTCAACGAGGCCAACGAGATCGATCAAGCTTTCGATTTGTGCTCCTCGGTCTCTCGTCGCAATCGAGTCATCCTTTCCTTCCTTCACGATGCTGACCAAGGTCGTTCGAGCAGCGTTTCTTCCTCATCCACCTCTCCGCCGGTGACGACTTTGCTGCCTCACAATTCTGTGCACCCTTCTCGCGAGGCTTCCATCGGCACAGACAGCGTAGCCAGCTTGTCAGCACAACGTCGCCGACGCGCACGCGAGATGCAGTATGTCCGTGATCCCAACGACTCCAACGATGATTCGGACTCGCAAGCAACTGTCGGCCCTTCCTCTTCCAGTCGCGCACATCTCGATCCGTCGTCGGCGCGCAACCCCTCCATGTCACAGCCCGACTACACCTTCGAGCAGTTCGCCGACCATCTGGATCCCACCGACAAGCTTCTCAAACGTAGTCTCGAGATCATCATCAAAGAGACAGCGCGTCAAGCCCTCGCCCGAAAGCGTGGTCCCGCTCACGATCCTGCCTCTGCATCTGCTACCTCTGGCTCCCGCGATCCAGCCGCCTCGTTACGATCCGCTATTGCTTCCTCTCGTGCAGATCGAGGCGTCGCACCAAGTCGTCTCCTCGACGACGAAACTGGGTTTGCTCATCGCATGTCACGCGTGCTCAACATCGATTCCGCATCATCCTCCCGTCGCTATGATACTACCACAACCGATCTCGACCCCACTTATCAGCTCCTGCGGTCGCTTCGACCCGCCAGTCATCCTCTGAACCACGCATCCGATCGCACCAACGCAGCTGGCAGCGCTGAGCGCCGCACTCTTCGCAACTTTCTTCCGACTTCATCCGACGGTCTACTCGGCTCGACTCGCGACCTGCTGACTTCATCTCAAGACAGCCCATCTTTCGCTCCCCGCGTCGCTCGTCCGATCACCGCTGATCAAACGCTCGCGCTTCGAGACGAGCGTCTTGCGCCAGCGCCACACCCGGCCACAACAAGAGACAGTCCCGAAGCCCAGCTATCGCATCGCAGATCCGTCGTTCGCCCATCCTCCAGCATCAGCATCACGCCTCAGACCATCTCGGCACGACTCGCAGAAGCGTCCCGACGCAATGCAGAGGCAGCAAGGACCATTGTCGAAGCTGAAAGACTCAGATCCAGCCAATTCATCCGCACTTCGATCGAATCGCTGCGAGCTTCGCTCTTCCAGCTTCATATGGACCTGGCCTGTACTCAGCTGCAGAATGCTCAGCGAGACTCGACACGCGCGCATCGCGCCTCGGCGAATCACGACGTCGGTGCCTCGTACGCCCTCGTCATGGACACGATCGAACTTTTCGATGATACCCTTCGCCGCCTCTCTTGCCTCGTCTCCACCACTGACCACACCTCCTCCTCTGACCCCGAGCCTTCCGTACAAGACAATGCCCCTCGCAACGCCGATCCATCACGAATGCGCACGTCGATGTGGAGGGCGCGTAACCTTTTACTACTCTCGTCCATGTCTCGGCGTCCTGACTCGCCAGAAGGCGGTTCGAGTAGCTCCGAGCCGTCGGGTACAGCCAACTCACACGACGCCGAGCTCAGAGCCCATCAACACTTGCTCGCCACCATTCAAGAGTCGCACTGGACCCGCGCTGACGTACCAGCTCCCTCTTCGGGTGCCATCCGCGCTTGGCGACGCAAGCTCGCAGCATGGTACTACCTCGATCGCGATTCGGCCACATACCCAGATGCACCAGACATCACAGATGATCGCACGGAAGCGTATGCTCGCTGGCATCCAGATCTCGAGCTTCCGTACGCGATCGATGATGAGATCATGGCTTCATCTACACGTCCAGATCCCATTGCGGACCCGCGCGCAGCCTGGCAATATGCTCGAAGACACGATGATTCCATCCGCAACGACTTGAATCGAGACGAACAGGTTCGCTACGCGCTCGCTTCAAGCTCAGTGGCCTCGGCATTGCAGCAACTGCAGAGACTTCGTTCACAGCACGACGGCGGACCACAACAAGGGATCGCTGGCCAGCATTCAAGCCGTGCCTCACCGGGAGAAGCATCAGCCCTAGCGGAAGGCTCGGCCGAAGAAGCTGACCCTGATGTCTCGTTGACGCGCACAACCTCTCTCAGTCGCCGCAATGCCGTTCGGCCTTTGCCGCTCAATAACTCCGACTCGTCCAGCATCCGGTCGGCTCGCTCGTCTTTGTCGCTGAGACGCTTGCACGGCTCATCCGGCGCGAATGCATCGCCATCGGAGCTACACACGGCTCTGCAGTATGACAACGATGCTGCCGAAGAAGAGATTGTCGAAACGAGCATCGAGATCAGCACAGTGCCTCACTCCCCTCAGGCCTCTGCAGATCCTACTTCCACTCAGGCCGCTTCTTCGGCAACTGATCTATTGCCCCCGCCGGACCGCCCACGTGCTGAACGCAGCGGCTCATTCACCTTCGTTACCACCCCTGCCGCGGTTCTGCGTTCACGCCAACGCAGCGAAAGTCGGAGCCACGTGTCCACGGAGCGACCAGCAGCTGACGACATAGAAGGTGAAGGAGACGACAATGATGATGGAGACACCGACGCCGAAGAGTACATCGACCTCGATCTGGATCTGGGCATGGCTGGCGACTATACGTTTGACTTTGATTTGACCGACTTTTTGCGATCCGAATCAAGGCGTCTAGCACGTCGCCGCGACCATGATGACGGGGACGACGACGACGAGCTTGATCGTGATGGTGTTGAGGCGTCTCCTCGCGCATTACGACGACGACGAAGCAGTGCCAGAGATGCGGACGGCTCACTGAGCGGTGACGCCTCACCTGCTGATATTCGCGTTTACGTATCGGGATCAGGCGCCTCGACTCCAGCCGAAGCCAGACAAGCCACATTCGAAGCCTACGCGCAACGTGCAAGGCTACTGGAGCGTCGACGTAGAATGGATGGTCAGCGAGAGGGTCACGATGGTGATGCTGCTGTCGAAGCAACGTTGGCGATTGGCGATAGAGATGATGCTAATGCATCTCACGAGACCTCGCCCGACAGCAGAAGACGAAGAAGAGGACGAGCCATTGGAGGCGATGGAACACCTACAGACGGACGCGATTCACTCCCATTCACTCGCAGAACTTCGGAACGCTGAAGCTCGTCTTTCACTTTCTACTTCCAATCACTGCCGTCCAATTATGTACTGTAGCTCAGAGGCACCGATACCCACACGCGGCTCTTGCACGGACAAACCGCCTCGATTCAGATTTGCTGCGCATTGCTTCTGTTGGTTGGCGATGATCACTATTGGAAAAGCTTTCCGGAGCGCCAATTTGATACATTTGCGAGACGATGGTAGTTTTAATCAAAGAGAACGTACTGTTGCGAGTTGGACTTTGTGTACTTGACCTCGTTGATGTGGTTGTAGTTGGGATGAAGGTCGACTTTGAAGTATTCGGGCGTTTGACCCTCGTACTTGTAACCGGTGTGGTTTCTGACGGGATAGTAGGACAGTGCGGCACCACCAATTCCCTCTTGCAAGCGGAACCATTGCTTTGCATCTGCGTCGTTGCACTTGGTAAAGATGAAGTGACCCTTGGTGTGATCGTCGGTAGATGCTGAGAGGCAGGTCTTCTTTGGCTTGCCGGTGAGAGTGAGGTTGGTTACGACGCGGCCCCAGTACTCGATGGGAGCACCCATACTGCCACCTTCGTTTCGCGAGTAGCCCTGGGTGAAGCCTTGGTAGTCGCACGTCTGGAAATCAAAGCCGGCTGGGCCGTTGGAGTGGCCGGCGGGGTTGACAGCGGCGAGCACGCTCTGAGTCTTGTCGTTGATGCCCTGACCGAGGTAGAGGTATGTTGTGGTCGAATCGTTGTAGGATCTGACTTGGAGCCTTTGTGGCTTTTGAAGAGCGTATCGTCCGCATGTGTCTGCAACGTGAGATGGAGTCGCTGCAGAGTCGTCATGAGGAACCGCTCGTCGCACCATACGAGACACAAAGAATGGCTCGTCGGGCGTGGGCAGCGTAGGCACCGCCATGACCGAGGTGGCGAAAGAGGCGGCGCACAGCAGCGTGCTGATAGCAAAGATGGACTTCATTGTTGGCGGTTTCAGTAGTGGTGGAGATGAGGTGGTGGAGAGGCCGTGGAAGATCCTGTCCGAGGCGATGCTGACGGGGTCGCAGGCTCTGATTTATGTATGTTGCACGCGGGGAGGGGGGTTCGACAGGTTTCAAGAGGTTCTCGAACGCGCCAGCACAGAAACTTGACAAAGCGCAGTCGCCAACACGCAGACTTGCATGTGACTTGACAGAAGGCCGCAGCGCCAAGGCGGATGGGGAGGGGGCTGCGGAATGAGGCGTACAGAGTGAGCCGTTGCCGCAGGTTGGGGATAGGCAGCCTCGGCGCGGAGTTGCTGTTTTTTCGCGTCGATCAACACCGACGTCGGGTGCATGCAAGTCGCTGTCAATCCGGGGCTTCCGCGGAACCCCGAGCTCAAGACTTTCCAGCGGCGAAGAGTGTCATTTTCAAGGCCACATCAGTGTGCTGTTTGTGTGCGCAAGTTGCCAGGCTCGCGGCTCGAAAGCCGTTGGAAAGAGCTCACCGGCGACATAAATGGATCTGCAAGGGTCAGCTGGTCTACCGTTCTGGACAGGCGAGACTTCTGCTTGGCTTCGCCACGCTGGCAGAAAGAATTCAAAACACAAAAGAAAAACGACGAGGCGAGGCGTTAGTTTGTGTCACCCTGCAGGACGCGACGTCGCAGTGGCACCGCGAGTCGGACCTCCGCTTCGGGTTCGACCTCGAACATGGCGCACTGCTTCTTAGAGCTTCGTAACCTGTCTCTGGAGTGTCCGACTCATTGTTCCGCACTAGCCATCTAACCAGCGTCGCTTTCCTGAAACTCACACACACCATGGTGCATCACCATTGGCAGCGCAAAATAGAAGGACTAATGAGGGAAACAAAAAAAAGGGAAATTGCTCCTTCAAAATTGTGGCCCAAGAAAGATGAAATTATACCACCTTGGTATGAGCATTGCTAATCGTGACCATTGACGTCAATCAACACTTCCCAAAGCTCATCCTCGGCGAACAGGAGCTGTCGGTATTGGCCAGAAGGCGTCTTGCCAGCCCAGCAAAAGTTGGCAACACCCTTGTCGCCCGGAAGCACGAACTTGCCAATGAGGTTGCCGGAGCCGTCGGGCTGGGGTTTGTAGACGTGGACGCCGTTACCGTGACCCGCCCAAACGTTGCCCTCGGTGTCGACGTGGATTCCGTCCGGAACACCACTGGTAGACTGGGCAAACTCGCGTCTTGACTCGACGTCGACGGCTGGCAGGCCATCGTTGGACTCGGAATCGGCACGCACTCGGTACGAGTAGATGAGCGAAGGTCCGTTGTCGTCGACGTAAAAGTCGCCCATCTTGTCATTGCGGTGGAATCGGAAACGACCAGTGTCGGTGGTGATGAGCAGCCCCGATCCATCTTTCGCCGACCAGGGCACAAAGGTGACGCCGTTTGGCTTGACGTAGTTGGTTGCGTCCAGAAGCTTGACTTTGCTGGTCGCCGGATTCCAGACGTAGACACCGTTGGGCGCGTACTGCTTGTTGCTGTCTTTGAAAGACTGCTCGACACCGTAATCAGGGTCGGTAAAGAAGACGCAGCCGGTAGTAGGATGCTTGACGACATCGTTCAGGCTGGAAAATGGCTTGCCTTGGAATTCGGACAGTGCAGATTGGGTTTTGTGGCCGTCGACGTTGTGAATGACGAGCGTGGACGCGACTTTGCGTGAATCCAAGCCCTGCTCGCACCAGAGCAAGCTGCTGTCGTCCCACTTGGTGGCACCGTTAGGCATGGCCAAGTGTTGTGGAAGATCCTCGATGATCTCGAGCTGCGACCACAGCTTTTGTTGATCTTCAGCCGAAAGCGGCGCCAAGATGCGCTCCTGCGAACGATCTGCGTCGTTGCTTGCGACAGGGATCGCACCTAGCGGCACACCGACAATAATCGCGCGCTGACCATACTTGGCATCCTCGAGACGGTTGGAAGAGAGGTAGACCTTGTCGTGCTTGGAGAGATACACACCAGCTTCATGGAAAGTCTGCTGATCTTTGGAATCGACGAGCAGCTTTCGCATGCCAGCCGAGCTGCCAATCAGACGGTCGAAGTCGGCATCGAGGCTGACGATGCCAACCTGGTGCTTGTCGGTAGCCACGGTCATGGTGAAGCCTGTGTTGATGGTTTGCGATGGGACGCTCGTGACGGTGACTGCCCTGAAGAGCGATGGGACGTTCCGACGACGGCGGTGATAGTGGTACGAACCGACGATTGTGGTCGGAGTGAGAATGACAAGAAGATGGATTGCTGCGGACCACAAGGAGCGGATGGACCGGTCCTGAAACGACGCGAATGTGGAGAAGGCAGCACGGACCGCACTCGAGATGGAGAGTCGACCTTTCAAGCGAACAATTTTATGCGCTCTCGAAGCCACACTATCTGGTGCAGCTCATCGTCCTCTCGGGTCGTATCAGGACCACGTTGTGTGGCTTGACATCGACAATGCAAGACGCAGGGTTCGCAAACAAGCGATGATGTGAGGCCCAAATTTGCACGTTGCTCTCAGCGTCGGGAGGAAGGCACAGGAGATTCGCGGACCGTAGCTTGTGCTCGAGTGGAGAAAACTGTGGTGCACAGCGAGATCCAAGAGCGGCCGACCGGATGCCCGGCCCGGTCGCTATTCCCACTCCGCTGGTCTGGAGCCGCGGGCATGCACGAGCTGCAGCGAAATCGGTCAAGCGAGCTGCTCGGCTGGTGTTATGCTATTTCTCCGAGAATATTTACGAGCGTTTCTTGCTGCAGTAAGCAAGACGCAGCACGGTCTACGCTTCAGCTGAGATGGCCCCAGCAATGCCGGCAACGCCGAAACGCAGCAGCATGCTTCGAGAGGACAGCCATGTGGAGCATGATCCTTGTCGCACCTGGATCGCACGGTGCTTGCGGACCGTCCGTGGCGACATCGCTGGTGAAAGACCTCCATCTGCTTTCGCCCAACACGTTCGTCCAGCAAAACGCGTTGTTCACTGCTATCCTCGTCCGAACGAAGCATTGCGTCTGCCCGAAAAAGGTTTCTTCTATGCATTGTAAGATGCAATGCACGCGAAACGGCGGTTCAGGCCGAAACGTGTTCGAACATCAACAGGACCGCATGAGGCATGAAGAGGCACACAAGAAGCTTCCACGCGCCTGCACAATTGAAAAATGACAGAAAAAGCCCCCTCACCCACAGTGACGGCACGAGAGCGCGAGTGGGGTTTCCCGGCATTTGAGCACGGCATCTGAGTCTTGCTTGTGTGGGTCGTGGATCCCCACCGGTCCGCGTTTCCAGACTCGGACACTGCCGCTGTCAAACTTCCCCGCGTGGCTCTCTCTGGTGCGCACAGCTTCAGAGCATCATGGCTCACCTACCCCGCACCGCTAATCCACACGAACGATCTGTGCAGTGAGATCAAGGTGCCCATCATGTATACTTGCCACAAACTCCGCACTTTCGTCCCTACCGTGATCGTGATGGTAGTGCCCCGCATCGCCGAAGCCAATCAACGGTACACACAAGTATGTGCTCATTTTTGTCGTAGTTTAGCACAGCGCCGGTCAACCTGTGATTCTCCGTGCTGGTTCCAGGCCTCGACGTGCCCTTGTCTTTCGGATCTCATGCCAATCTTTTCCTTTCCCATGCTCGCCTGGACTTGAGCAGTCTTCTACACCCCTGCCGGCCCGGAGTGCCGTACTGATTATTATCGCGAAGCCTGTTCTAGCTACGGTAAATCTTGTTCCTGATGTCAGCTCGATGGCCGCTAGCCCAACTATGTCACTGTTACCCAGCGCTTCTCCTTGACTGTCGATGTGATGCTGAGTTTGGGTCTCATACTCCACGAGCTCCCGAACCGCAACATCGGTTGAGTCAACGGATTATCTCCATTCGTATAAATTCCCCCGCCCCCGGACGCACGTTATCATCTCCTCGCATCCATTCCCCATACTTCCTTCCCTACCTTCACGACACATCCTTCACCATGGGCTCGGGATACCAATACAGCCCTCGTCGCATCAGCAACGACTACTTCGGTGTCGATGTCGGCCTCCGCGGCAAGGCCTTGCTCTCGGTCATCACCGCCAGCTGTGCCGGAGGCTTCCTCCTCGTCGGTTATGACAACGGCGTCATGGGAGGAATCGTGTCCCTCGGCGAGTTCAACAAGACCTTCAACAACCCAGACGCCAACACAATCGGCAACATCGTCTCGCTCTACGAAATTGGCTGCTTCATCGGCGCGCTTGCGACTTTTGTCGTCGGCGATATTCTCGGTCGTCGTCGTACCATCCTTATCAGCTCCCTCTTCATGATCGCTGGCGCCATCGTCCAGGCTGCCTCCAGCACCGTCGGCGTCATGATAGCTGGCCGTATTATCTCAGGATTGGGCATGGGTGCTATCAACAGCACCGTTCCAATCTTGCAGGCAGAAACTTCACCCGCTGTCTCGCGAGGTCAGCTCGTTGCTCTCGATCTCACTGTCCTCAACATTGGTATTGTCGTGTCCTACTGGGTCGACTATGCCTTTGGATTCGGCGGTCTGATCGGCAGCAAAGTGTGGCGCATCCCTCTCGCCCTTCAGTGCGTCTTCATCGTCATCCTCATGCTCACCACACTCATCATCCCCGACACTCCTCGTTGGCTCGCCAGGAAGGGCCGTCATGAGGAGGCCATCGCTGTCCTCGAACGTCTTCACAACGCATCCATCGACTCTCCAGAAGTGCAACAGTCCTACGCAGGTATTCAACAGGCCCTCGAGCACGAGCGAGCAGCTGCCAACACCGGATGGTCTGCCCTTGTCGCCAACGACTCCATCCAGACTCGCAAGCGTTTGTTCCTAGCCTGCTTCATCCAGGCCGCGCAACAGGTAAGTTTACCTTTCATTCATTCATTCATTTGTTTGTGCGCTCGAAGCTACGAGCACCCGGCGTGGTTATCCTATCGCGGGGTATTCGCCGGGCGTTGGGGGACCCTGTGCCGTATCCTTTTTGGCGAGGAGGGAGGATCCCCAAGTTGTTGCTCACCTTGAACTTGAACTCGAAGAGAACAATCGACTGACCACTTATGTTTCCATTTCTTCGTTTTCTTCGTGGTCGATACCATGTAATAAATGAACGCATTCATTCCTTTTTTTTTACAGTTGAGTGGCATCAATGCGCTTATATATTACAGTGGAACGCTCTTCTCTCAATCTATCGGTCTCGACAACAAGAAGTCGGCTCTTATGGCCGGTGGCCTCAACATGTGCCTTATCCTTGGTTCCACGATCTCCATCTTCCTGATCGACCGTGTCGGACGCAAGAAGCTCCTCATTCCTTGCATTGCTGGAATGTCGGCCGTCATGTGTGTTCAGACCGGTCTCGTCAAGGTGATTCAGGAAGGCACCACCAACGCCAACTTTGGTCGTGCTGCCTCTGCTATGCTCTTTGTTTTCGAGTTCTTCTTCTCGCTCGGGTTCCAGGCCACCGTCTGGCTTATCCCTTCCGAGGTCCTTCCCCTTCTTATCAGGACCAAAGGTTCGGCTCTCTCCACCGCATCTAACTGGATCTTCAACTTTGCTGTTGTCAAATTCACCCCTAGCGCTCTAAAGAACATCGGCTGGCAGACTTACATCATCTTTGCCATCCTCAACGCATGCTGGGTCCCCGTCATCTACTTCATGCTCCCCGAAACAAAGGGCAGAAGTCTCGAGGAGATCGACGAGCTCTTTGCCACCGACAATTGGCACATCGACAACTCGCACGCTGCCGCCGACACCAAGGCTGCTGCCCACCGCAACAACGATATCGAGTACAACGATGTCGACACTGGCTCCCACAAGGGCAGTGCCAAGGATGAGCACGTTGTCACATCCACCCTTGACTCGAGGTGAATCCTCTAGATACCCACCACATCGTGCTCTTCTCGAATCACGTCACCTGCTTCCACGTTTCTCGCTCCATGGTCTTTTTCCGGTTGTGTACATTCTGTATCAACGCCTCAATTGCACTCTTAAGGTTCTAAGACTTTGTAATCGTACACATTCTCAATGTCACTCCGTCCGCGAAACCTCCCCCTTTCTCGTGTGTTGCCGTGCGATGAGTGAGTCACCAGTCCATGATGATACGCTTAGATGATTGCTCCGTACGAAGAGCTAAGCGGCCAACCATTTCTTTCGTAGAGCTCAATAAGGACCTCTTCCAGTATCTTCTCGCTGAGAAACCCCTGCGTATAAAGTCGACCATCGTCTCGGTCTCGATCGTTGTCATCGTCAATGTCAATGTCATCGTCAACGTCATCGTCATCGTCATCGTTCGAGTCGAGGTCCATCATGAAGTCGTCATCTTCGTTCTCTAATACGGACGAAGTCGCTGTAGCGTACTGTTCATCGTCCAGCCCTTCTTCCTCATCCTTCTCGTCCAAGTCACCTGCATCGCGCTCATGGGCTCTACGCATCCGCATCAACCAAGAGCGCAGCGTGACTACCGCACCTCCGGCTCTCTCGACGTCTGGCCATTCTGCGTCTTGAGCGTCATTGTCAAAGCTCCTCAGCCAATGCCCAAACTCATCTTGTGTGAGCAGAACGACTCTTCCGAGCATCAGTTGCGCTTTGAGGAGCACGTCCAGCACCTCTTCTCTGCTTCCGACAATGGAGAACGCCGTAGCATGCTGCGAAGACGTGCCGTGGATGAAGTGAAGTGGGAACCAAGCGGTGATAATTGACTCGTCTAGCGTGTCGTGCAGATACATGCTGGAGACCATCAAGTAGTAGGTCACCATCTTTTACAGTAAGGCGCTCGGCGGTGTGGTGAAGTGATGGAAGTGATGAGACCAGACAATCGTGAAGGAAGGTCTCGATCGTTGAGTGTTGTGCGTCGAGGTTCCTGGTGAGGATGCGTCTCTGCGGATTACAATGAAGCCATACGCAATGTCCCCGCATCCGCAGGCGGAACCACACCCTTTGAAAAACGCGTGACGACAAAACTGGCCTTTGTTCCGCCTGCAGTCTTCCCGCAACAAAGCCTTCAGCTTCCATTCCGCAAATCTTCGGCCTCGTCCTTGCCATCACTATCCGTTGACGTCTTTCCGCGCTTGAGCGGACATCCTCTGCCACCAGGTAGTTTCTGGGTCCATCGTTGTGTCAAAATCATTTCAATCGATACGGCCGGATATTCAGTTCACGAGTGCTGAAATGCACGAAGGGGTACGGCACAATCGACATCATCTGCTGTGGCAACTTTGAACTTGATTGTAAGGACCCTTTGATGTGTGAATGCGCGCTCTGCTCACGCCGAAGTGATCGAGTCAACACCTGCGCTTGTGAGGCAAGCCTCTCCACCTCTCGTGTATCGACTAGAACAAAGGCACCCACCAGTACCAATCTTCTTGTGCCTCATCGACATCCAGTTGAGTTACGATCCTGTGGCCGTTCTCCTTCACGATCTCCACTCTCTCCACCATGCACTGCGTCTGTTCATCCGCTTCGGTGTTCTGCTTGAAACAAGTAACAAAATCGTCCAACATCTCCTGCGGGACGAGATACATCTCGGCATCGATCTCGTCGCCCATCATGACTTGACGAAGCTCCTCGACCTCGTCTCGACGAGGAAATACTCCGAACGAGGCCAACTGGGAGTTGCTTTCACCATAGCGCAAGGTGAAGGGTAGGCGGTTGAACCAGCTACGCCAGCTGACAACGTCGTGATCAACGGCGAGGATGACCGCGAAAAACATGGCAAATTTGAGGAGTTGAGGTTGAGTGTGAGTTGATGGATCTGGCAAAGAGACAATAGGTGGAGAGGTTAGCAAGACATTCCGAGAGGAGCAGGACTTCGAAACAGCAAACATACCTGGTTTCAGCTCGCGATCTCCTTAAGATCGGCTCGGGGCGTACAGATGGTGTTGGGGGGCGGAAGTAGCTGACGTCGGCTGAGCTCCTTTTATCCACGCCTCCGTGTCTTAGTCCGTCTGTTTCGCGCTGAGCCGGCACTTCGAAAGCGATGCGGAAAGCGCAGCGCTGTCTTCTGTCATCGTTCGACGTGCGCCGAATTCGGTGGTAACTCTTCCGCATCTCAGCGGACATATGCATGGTGATTTTTCTGCAGCCCACATCGAGCTTATGCACTCAAATGAGATCTGTCTCTTGCAGGACACGACGCAGACTCTTCATCAAGCAAAAGGATTCGGCGCCAGAAGGCGATGATCTGCATCTCATGAGGGCCGATGGTTTGTCAAGATCAATTTCCCTCAAAAAGGCTTGTGTGCTGTAATAGATCAGCGACGTGTCAGCGATCGTTCGACTTCCGCCCTCAGGAGGAACCTGTGGCGATGCATTCTGGCTCGGCAGCGAGGGGACAGCTCGTCAAAACAATGAGAAGCCAAAATCAAGTGGCTGCGTTGGTGCAGAGAACGCAGCTGCGCCAGGATTGAGCAACGACGACAGCCATTCGTCTGCATTCGACAAGAACAGATCAAGCGATTCTGCTGAGGGAGTGACTCCGTTCGCGTGATTAGCGTTCCACATGCTTGAGGCTGAAGCCGAGTCCGTTGCAGCCATCCTGCCCATTCCGTTCTGGGCCTCGATGTTCCCGTAGTCATGTGCGTCATCTGCCGCAGTAATGCCACCGTGGGGCTGAGACCGAGCCGCCGTGACTGCAAGCACGCCGCCACTGCTGGGCGATGGCGCAGAGCTTGGATTCGAATGGCTGCTTGTGGCAGTCTTGTCTTCGCCAGTGGGCGGGATCCGGGTCGCATCGTCGATGCGCACACCAGCACGTGCCATGTTGAGCAGAAGGCTGGCTGCGCTCTGAAGCTCCGTCAGCGTCATTGCGAGCCGGTCCGCACATCCGCCCGGGCAGCGCACGCCGAGAATCTGAAATCCTACACTCTGTGGATTGAGCGTGGCAACTTTGTCTTGAATGCGTTTCAGGAGCGACCTCATCAAATAGAGTTCCTTCACGGCAAGGTGGTCGCCGCGGGATTCTTGAATATTGGCGCGCACCGTAGCCACGTATTCTTGCATAAACCCTAGCTTCTCTTGAACCTCTTCGGCATTGAGCGTCTCGTCAAACTCCAGCGCGAAGAGCACATCACTTGCAATGATTGTGTTCATACTCAACAGAGAGTACGCACTGCCGTAAAGATGGCAGAGCATGGTGACAGGGATACGTCGAGAAAGCAAGCGTCGTCCACGCAAGTCACTGAGCGCGAGTTGGACGCAGATCTGGCGGGAATGCTTGAACTTGTCCGCCGACACTAGGTCCACCGACTCCATCCAAAACGGCCGATGCAGCAGCGAGCGGAAGAAGAGGATCTGATTTGTGCATAGGTGGTGGTAGAAAGTGGTTGAGAAATCTTGATGCTTCATCGCGCCCCCCGAAAGTGACAGACCTGCTGATAGACACGGTGGAAGGCTTTCCACGAATCGTTCGACATCATGGTCGATCTCGAGAGCTCGATCGTAGATCCTCGTGGTCGGCGAGGTGTTGGAGTTAGCAGCAATCTCCTGGAAGAGACGCGAGATGCGTTCGATGTAAATGCGGAAAGCGTCGCGCGTAACGAGATACTGAGCACAAGGGAGCTCAAGACCAGTTTCCAGATAGTCTTGGAGCGTCGGCGTGGGCGTGGTTGAAAAAGGAATCTCACTCATCGGCCTTCCGAAAAGCACGCTCCATTCGCGGTCCTGTTGAATGATGTGCGACCAGAGCACACGCCGCTGAAGAGTCGCCGAATTGTTTTGCCCCAAGCTTGCGCCATCGAGATGCAGTCCCAAGTCGATGGCGCCTCGCATACAAGATGCAACCTGCAACCAAGTGGACCTCGGAACGCGACAGAGATCGAGATACCGACACAGGTTCAAGGATGCCCTGAGCGAATCGAGTGTGTGCAGCCCGAGGCTCTCGGACAAAGACAATGCTTTGCGCGCGGCGAAGAAGTAGGTGCGAGATGGTCTTGTTGGGTAGGGACGCACCGCCAGGTCGAGAGTTGCCAGACCGAAGATGGACAAGCAGAAAGCCATGAGAGGCAGCAGCTGTACATCATCCGAAACGGCGCAACGATCGATGCAGATGTCGACGGATTTGACTAATTCGTCGGGATTGGAAGGGAAACGACTCCAGTTGAAATCATCGAGAAAGATCTGCAGGAGACGATGTGCTTCGGTTTTGCTGGGAAGGGATTGTTGCACAGATCGGAGCTCGTACTTGGGAATGACGAGACCGAAACCCCTGCCGAGTTGGCCGGTCCAGGACAAGAGGTCGGTGCCGACACCGTCGTGACGACGAAAGGGGTTCCAGCCAAGACCGTTGAGAGCAGGCTTGCCAATGAAGGCGTCGTCGGCATCTACTATGCTTCGCTGGTCCGCACTGAGCGTAGGAGCGCTTTGGAAACTGCGGGAAGAGGAAGGAGCAACAAGCGCATAGGCAGCGATCGGTGCGTCTGAGCTGGAGAATGAGGGAGCGCCTGGCTCATTCTCCGAGGTTGAGCGACTTCTATGATCAGGCGACGTGTTCGGACGCTGGGTTTGCTGTTGCAGCGCTGGCCAGTGAGCTACTGTCGCAAGCTGGGCGAGCGCATCGGCGCCAGATGGGGCCGTCCCGCGGTTACTGTGGCGTGTATCGGTGCGGAGAGGCACCAGCACTCGTGAAGCACCGGATACGTAGATACCGTCGGGCTCATGAGCAGAAGATGAGCCGAAATACGAGGGACTTTGAGATGGCGGCGGCATGCGTGTTGAGGAAGAAAGCGAGCTGCGTCCTGCTGCGCGGATACGAGACATCGCCATCTCATTGAGACTTTGTTCGGCGTCGGCATCGGCATTCATGTGGCGGGACGAGTGTAAAGATCGATGCGACTGCGGGAAGGAGGTCGAGAACCGATCAGATGGTGTTGACTGTTGTCCTCGCAACCACTGCTGGTGCTGATGATGCTGTTGATCGTAGGTGTAGATCTGACTTCTGGTGTCTTGGTCTTGAGGGTCTGCACGATATGTTTGATCGTACTCCCTGCGGTGCGGACCGAACAACGAGGCGGGAAAATCGGTTGGGCCACTCTCGCCAAGCGATCGATTGGTCGTGAGAACCCCACTGCCAGATGTCGTAGATCCATTGACGGCTTGGGATGGATTCGAAGAGCTCATATCCTGCTCGTCGTCGAGCTCATAGGCATTCATGTCGTCCATGTCGTCTTCTGGCTCGTGCTTGTCGTCGGGTTGAGCCTTACCAGAAGCTGCAAGAGCGAGCTTCTGGCGCATCCGAATGCGCCTGGACGGGCGATGCAAGTTGCTCGGAGGCACGCACAGATGGGCTATTCCACGCTGTACGCACTTCTCACAGGGAAAGGTGCGGCTGCACCGCTGTTTGCGCCGTTGGCACTGGACGCAGCTGTACTGGTATCGATTTCGCTTGCCGTTCTCGTTCGTTTCGAGGCTGTGATCGTAGTCGTCGTTGATTGCGGGACTGGAGCTGGTAGCGGTACTACTCGTAGAAGCAATTTGAGTATTGCGACTAGGCCCCACGTCCCGCGAGACGAAGGGATACTGCGCGCCACTCCGGTTGGCTGAAGGCATTGCTTCCGTTTTGACACGACGTGTGAGCGGCATTCGGGACAAGCCGAGATGATATGATGGTCACCACAATCGGCGTGGCCGGCGAATTTCGACGAGGAGTTGTGTGATACTCGCTACGATGGCAGAAGAAGGGAAGAAGACGAGAGAGAGCTTTATCGCGACTCACAAAGCGACCTATCTCCGAAATTGTGCAGCAGACCCTGAATCGGCTTTTTTCGCAGACGTCTGACGCTCGCTCAAGGGTCCCGCTTGTTGGGCTGCGCGACTGCAACGTTTATGAGATATGCGAGTGCTCACATCCAAGTTGTCTTTTCTCGTTGGCTCCCACATACGCACCAGCCTTGGGAGACGAGCAGTTACGCATTCGACCATTCGATGAGCAGCAGCCGGTAACTTTCTTGTTGGTTCACAAGTCCATGCTTCGGTGGGAATGTTGTCCTGGCCAGCTGCTCTGGCGATTCTGACGCAAGCAAGCTCTACTCCAGATCAAGAACCACTGGATTGTCAATTTGAGAAAGTCAAGGTCACTTCACAGTACGAAATCTGAATTCGAACTTCGCATATGTGCGCGGGAAGAAGCTAACCTTGAGCTTTGCCAAGCAAGCTGCAGCCAGCGGCTGTGCCAACTTGCGGCGCAGCAATAAGTCAGTTTCGGACAACCTCACAACGACTTCGCCTTCATCTCGCCATTTGTGTCACAGCCGCCTGGGCTGTTGTCACGTCACACATCGACGAAACACAGTTCCCTCAAAGCGATGACCGAAAGCGCCGATCTGCTGCATGACCATCACCTTTCGACTCACAGGAGGGCTTACCGACTCGTCTTCGATCCTTGCGAGGCCCTTTGTGAGGAATCTACCAAGCTGAACGTGCAATGAAACTCTGCCTCATCGTGCTTGTTGACGGAAAACGAAGGATTGTCGACACCCGCGACATCAAAGGATGACACTTCCAGTACAGAGCAAAGTGTATTCCAACCCTATTTTGCAAATGGACAAATGAGAATTGACCGAGGTTACCTTCGGTCCACAAAGAATGAACTTTATGTGAGAATTTGACTCGGCAACGACGGTCCAGTGGCCATGGCGCAACGTCGTTGCAAGGTCATGAAAGCAGATGCGGCTTTTCGAAAGGCCGCGAAGGTTCGCGGGACCCGCCTCATGCTATCGACATGGTGGCTGACTTTTCCGTCATGTACTCCTTGAGCCCGGCGCCGATGCCGGCTTCCTTCCCGAAACCTGATTGATCGACACCACCAAATGGTATCTCGGCCGCCGTGGTGCTCCCTCCGACGTTGAGGCCAACGTTGCCGGCCTTGAGTTGCTCGAACATTCGCCAGAGACGCGCCGAGTCTTTGGTGAAAACGTACGATGTCAGGCCCATGTCGGTATCGTTGGCAAGCGCAACAGCCTCCTGCTCCGTCGAGAAACTCGCAACGTTGATGAGCGGAGCAAACGATTCCTCTTGAAACACGAGCATATCCGCGGTGCAACCAGCGAGCAAGGTTGGCGCAACAAAGTAACCAGAGCTCGGCAAGGAAGCCTTCGAAGTGTACACGGTGGCGCCTTTCGCCTTGGCATCTGCGATGTGCTCTCGCGCCTTTTGCTGGCCTCTTTCGGTCTGCAGCGGTCCCAACGTGGTGGATGCATCAGCTCCGTGGCCGAGCGTAATTCTGTCCAGCTGATCTGCGATGATCTTCAAGACGCGATCGAGGACAGACTCGTGTACGAATGCTCTCTGCGCCGAAATGCAGGTCTGACCCGCATGCCGCAACTTGTTTGCAACAAGCGCAGTTGCAGCTGCCTCAACATCGGCATCGCTAAAGATCAGGTAAGCGCCCAGACCGCCCAGCTCCAGCGTCAGCTTCTTGAGCGTGGGTGCGCATTGCTGCATCAACAATCGGCCCACACGAGTACTGCCAGTGAAGCTGAGCTTTTTGATGCGCGAATCGGTGCACAAAGCTTGACCGATGGCAGGAGTGTTGCGATACGACGCCAGAACAATGTTGACGGCACCGGAAGGGAAACCAGCCCGACGAAGCAGGTTGGCGATGGCAAGTGTCGACAGGGGCGTCTCTGGCGATGGCTTGACTACGATGGTGCATCCAGCAGCAAGCGCACTGACGGCTTTGCGAACGAAGAGTGCCACAGGGAAGTTCCACGGCGTCAAGATCGCCACCGGCCCGACAGGTTGCAGAACGGTCAAGAAGCGCAGTGAAGGGTTGGTTGCGCTCTTGACCACCTGACCCTGGATTCGTTCCGCCTCACCGACGAACCACCAGCTGAACGTAAGCGCGTACTGCACCTCTGCTCGCGCTTCTTCGAGCGGCTTGCCGGTCTCGAAAACGAGGATCCAAGCAAGATCCTCAAGATTGTCTCGGACCAGCCGATCAAAGTTGAGAAGCAGCATCGCTCTCTCCCTTGCGGGTATAGCCGAGTACGTTGGAAAAGCTTGCTTGGCAGCGTGGATGGCCTCGTCGACATCCTTGAGGTTGGACGCCGTGAGCCGACATATTGGCGTGCCCGAGCCTGGATCTGTAGGTTCCAGTGGGACATTTGACGGTCGAATATGAGGGGACACCATATCAGCCTCGATGTTCTGTAGCATACTTTGAGCCTTTGAAGGCTCTGAAGATGAAGGCGTCGCATCACTTACCCATAACATCGAAAGATTCGTGGCCCGAGACGTCGGAACCACCCGCAATCTTGGCGAAGTCCGATCCGTCCAAAAGCGTGAGATCCTTAAGTTTGCTATTCATGGTGAAATCGTCGTCTCTGCCTTGGAGGCGTCCGGTAAGCAAGACAGAGATCGGACCCTGACGGACAGCGTGAGTAGGGCCGAAAGTGGCAACCTAGATGGTGATGATGATTCGATCTTTCGCTCGGAGTGCAGAGTGGTGACCACGTCGAAGTCTAGGTTGCTTCCACCTTTTGACCACTAACAAGAACTAGTCGTGAGATCCGATGAGTGGCGTGTACTGAACTTATCCGGCTCGGACGGAACATTGGCTGCTTAGTTCGCTCAGACTTGGCAGATTGAGGGAGCTGCGATCGATTCTAAAGGGACTTGCCAAGGTTGGCTGCGATGCGGCGACGAGGGGCGGCAGTGAAACAGCTCGACAAGACCGGTGTCTGGGGACGTTTCTAAGTCCGTAGCGCGATTCGTTGGACAAAAATGCCAGACCTTTGAATGCTTAGAAATAGCCAGCCTATCTAGAAGGCTTGCTTCCCGTGCACAGTCAATCGACCGTCTCGGATCAAGATTTGTTCTGACGCTCGAGCTGGCCACTGTCTCATGTCCACCTCAACATCTTCGACAAGCCCGAACGATGGTGCTCACGGCGCAAACAACGGAAGCATCTAGCTGCAGGGCACTCTCGGGTCGCAAACTCTGAGTCGCATTTGGCTTGTGTGGGGTTCAAAGGAACAACAAATCCAGAGGGGCGGGCCGCGGCCCTTGGCCAGCTTCACGCCCTTGCCTCTGCGTTCCTGCCCTTTTCTTCTCGGTGTCGGATCGGCTGCATAATCTTCGGATTTGTGACCGCAGGCGAGCTGCTTTTCGTGTGTTGGTCTCGTCGGTGACGGTTGAGTGTGGGGGGAACAAAGAAAATCGGCACTAATTCCGACGTGCTGATGGAAAGAGTGATGGATGATTGGGTGATTGGGTGTCAACCGACTCTGCTGTTGCCAACAACAAAGTCTCGACTGCCGATCGAGCTCCATTCATCGTCGTCCTCATCGTGCAAACACATCTGTCTCGATGGTATCCATTTGCGACCCACGATCTTAAGCGCAAGCTCGGCTGGCTCACTGCAGACTACCATATTACGAAAGCGACGAATCAGGCAAGCTCTGCAATCCAAGATGACGAGCAGCAACAACGAGACGAGATCTAAGATGTTCAAGATCATGGTACTGCAAGGTGATCACATCGGGCCCGAAATCATGGCCGAGGTCTTGCCGCTGTTCAATCTCATCGAGACTCGCTTTGATATCAAGATCGAGACGGTCGAACGATTGATCGGAGGTGCGTGCCTGGACACGCACGACTGTCCGATCCAAGATAGCACGCTGCAAGAAGCTTTGGGGTGTCATGCCGTTCTATTGGCAAGCGTCGGGGGTCCGAAATGGGACGTGGGAGATTCAAGTAGAAGACCAGAGACCGGCATCTTGCGGATGCGAAAACACCTCAATCTGTATGCAAATGTGAGGCCCGCAAAGATCATCTCGGAGCGCCAACTCAGGCTCAGCTCTTTGAAGGAAGACGTCGTTCGAGGCGTCAACATCATCACGCTACGCGAGAATGCGGGTGGCATCTACTTTGGCAAGAAAGAGGAGCCAGATGAGCATGCTTGGCGAGGTAAGTATGCTGCAAAGAGCGAGCCTCGCGTTAAGCCGTGGCCTACCATGTTCCACAAAAGGGGGTCCGAAACTCCCACCGGGGATCCGACTCGGACACAGTGTGCTGACATATCCTCGAATCTGATGGAACGTAGCTTCGGACCTTTGCGAGTACACGCGAGAGGAGATCGTTCGCCTCACTCGCGTAGCAGCGGCCCTTTCCCTCGCCAACGATCAAGAGCCGCTACCCATCATTTCGGTCGACAAGGCCAATGTGATGGCATCATCGCGGCTCTGGCGCCAAGTGGTCACAGAGACCATTCGCGATGAGTACCCGCAGCTTGTCGACAAATTGAGCCACCACCTCGTCGATTCTGCTGCGATGGTGCTGGCAAGAGACCCGCGCAAGCTCAACGGCGTCATCCTCACCGAGAACGTGAGTCCAAGGGAGAGACCTGTGCAAAGAATGCCCTGTCGTGAATGGGGCTCAAAGCAGAACCGCTGTGTTACTAACTGTCACACTTTCCTTCTGCCAACCAGCTGTTTGGCGACATTCTGAGCGATCTCGCCTCGGTCATCCCTGGATCTCTTGGTCTGCTCGGATCTGCCGAGATGGACGGTCCCCCCAGGTCTCATGATCGGGACAGATTGCCAATGGGTGTCTACCAGCCAGTTTCGGGTTCGGCGCCTGACATCGCAGGCAAGGGTATCGCCAACCCCATCGGAATGTTCGAATCTTTTGGCCTCATGTGCCGATGGTCGCTCGGTTTGACAGAGGCGGCCGACGCGATAGACAGCGCCATCAAGCAATGCCTCGAGACGGGTCAATGCACAAGCGACGTCGGTGGAACGCTATCTACGCAGCAAGCGGGAAGCGTGCTGAGGCAACTGATCCGAGAAGCGTTGGGATGAAGTTTTGATCGCCCATAGGGGCCCCGCTTAGTCGAACGACCGAACCGCTTCAATGCTGCAGGCCGCTCCTCCGTCTCGTTCAACCGATTATCTCGAACGCTGATTGGCCAGTCGCGAGGCATGAAAAGGATCGTATTGAGGTGCATGGATGGGTGCAAAGTTGAATTCTAGACTCCAACTGAATGATCTGCTGTGGACGATGTCTGCATCTCGGAGAACTTTTATCCCCATACTGGGTTCTTCTTTTCGTGTACCTGTGGTTGTCCTTCTGGCGATCCGGGAATGTTTTTGGCCAATTTCTGTGACTCATCAACGATGATAGGAAGCATTGAGTCAGCGTACGGTCGAGTCAGTGGTGTGGGGATATTTCGAGACTTACCAGCTTCTCGAAGACGCATTGATTGAGTGTCTTTTCTGGCTTCCTGCATCTGTAGAATTCCTGGTTGTGCTGCTCTAGACATTGGAAATGGGCTTCCCACTCCTTTCCACAGTTGTCGCTCAACTTTTTAATTCTGCGAAGGTGGGCAGGTGGCGGTCGGATTCGCGGAAGAGATGGAAGAGGAGCGCTTGTTCATTAGTCATCTGCTATTTGAACCTGCGGTTCGATCGGCGGTGCGACTTTGCAGGCAACAAGTCGATGTCTGTGCCTGCAGGGGCACCACATGCTGTTGCTCGAAGCATACGTACAGATCGCGGGCGCATCTCGTCACACGACGTCCCTCCTTGAGGCAGTGAGCGGGATCACGGCTCTCGTTCTTGCAAAGCATAAAGTCCTCGTTGACGTCCTTGCAATGCTCGCCGATAAAGAAGCTTGCTGACTTTAGCGGAGCAGAGGTTACACCGAGCTCGTCAATGTGTGGTTGGCTCGAGGGCATGGGAGCCGGGTCGATGTAGGGTTTCCCTGGGAACTTGGCATCTCGGTGTGTGGCCATCTTGGACGAATGTGACTGCCACGTTAAGACGGTCGCGGATGTGAGATACGGTTGCTAGACAGCTGCAGAGCCTGGCACTGGATGTTCGAAGCCAAGTAGAGCGATGCGGTATGGCGATGATGATGGGAATGGCGAGAAGTACAGCGACGACATCAAAAGTCAACAACACAGAGCGCGAAAGCTTCTCAATTCAAGATTCCGATCACGGACCAATCAGGGCAAGACGATTTCGGATCCGCATACCTTTGCTATGGTATATGACGACGGCGTAACATATTTCTGAAATCCCTTTCTCCTTTTCCGGGCTCGCTTCTGCAAGGACCCTTTGTTCCTCCACCAAAATTTGTGATCTCCGACCGCGAAGAAGAACAAAAACTTACCCTCAGACCTAAAATTATGGAAACAAGAAGCACCGAGCGAGTTTCGAGTTTCCAACATCTCCACATCATACCCCATACCATACAGGCCACAGATATCTGCACGCATCAAGGAGTGGCGAGCCTTGAGTAAGCGATTCTGATGGCGAGCTGCGGTCCAACCGCGATGAGGCTGCCTTCGCGAGTCCGTCGGCTTGCCCGACCTTCGGTAGCAGGCACCGCGGCTAAGCCGACCCCAGCCGCACTTCCGCCAGCCTTTCTTTGTCCCCTCATCCACGCGCATCCCCTTTCGGTGCAGTCCCTACGGCTAGCATCGACGTCCTCATCCGATAAATCTCAGTCCAACTCTGCGCAGAACCTCAGAGGAGCGCTTAGGAGGACGGGCCAAGCTTCGAAATGGAGTCCAAAACCGCCGGTAGCGGACGTCGGCGCTGCTTCTCCGGCCTCGAAGACCACGTATCCAAAGCGCGGGTTGCCTCAAAGATATACCGCGCCATCGCCTAAACCGAAGCCACATGATCGGACTCGAGAGCAGGATCGCAGTTTTCGCATCAGAGCAAAAGCGTTGGTCGAATCACTTTCGGACACCTACAGCGAACTGAGCAGGCAGTCTCGCGACGCGCGCACATCTCCAGCTCGAATCGACTCGGACATCACAAATGCTCTCGCTCATTTTGAGAGTGAGATGAAGGTGCTTCGAGTCATGCTCAAGTCCAAGGACGTCCTCGTCGATCCTGACAACTCCTGGAGATCAGCCTCACGCATCAAAAGCCCCTACAATACTGCGATTCGTATATGCTTCCAGAATGGCAAGGTCGAGCGTGCTTTCAAGCTACTCAACCAAATGAAGAAGGATGGCATCTTTCCCGGCGCAGCTACTTATACCGTGCTTATTAATGGCTTGACCCGCGTACTCGTTACGCAGATGAACTCGGTCTCGTCAGATCGCAAGACCGAGCAGCTACTGCAGCGCAAAGAGACGCAGCGTATCCACGAGCTATACCATGATCTCGAGAAGCTCTGGAAACAAGCTTATCCCCGCTATTTTCCGCGCGCCGGAATCGCGCGAGCCAAAGACGCGGTCCCTCTCGACAAGGACGACTATCATACCATGACGGAACAGGCTCGTCGCAATCTAGTCTCGCAGCAAGCCAGCATTTACGAAGCTCAAGAATTCCCCAGGGTTCTGACCAACGCTATCGGTGCCTACGCGAACTTCTTGCGTGTCATCGACGCGAACGATGAGCTCGACAGGCTCTTCGATCGGCTCTTTCCACCAACGCTCATCGAAAGCATGGCCCGTGGCCTCATGCCCGATGCATCTCCACAAGAGAAGCTGGAGCTTGCCAATCGCAAGTTGTCCGACAGCTTGCCCCTCGGCGATAAATCGTCGATCTCCTCATTCCTCCCGATTCCGGATGCGCACGACCCCAAACGTTTCGCCGCTACCGGGAAGATCTGGTCTCGCATGTTTCTGTTGATGGACATAGAGCGACATCAGCACCTCTCATCCTCTTCACGCGTCAGCAAAAAGAATCAGAAGCCGAGTCTCTCGTCCAAAAGCGACGCAGGGCAGCATGACAATGGCGGCCAAGCCGATTTTCACGACCTCAGATTTGTTCCCGACGATCAGCTCATGATAGATACCCTCAACCGTCTAAGACCGGTCCACGACGCGGACTCGCCTGAAACCATTCGGCTCGGCCTTTCGATCTTAAAGAAAGTTTACGGCCTCGAACTCGTATCCGCCGCTGATGGGATCATCAGGGATCCACAACGTTCCGAACACGCGGAGCCTGGAGTGGAATACTACCTCAATAAGGACGCCGACGAGATCAACGGGCCCGGTGGCCCGTCGGCGGAGCTGCGTTCTCCGACTGTAGCGGCCTTCGTGTTCCTGCTCCTCGCGCCAGCTAGGTTGTGGAGGGAATACACCGCATTCTTCAACTATCTATGGGCGAAGGAACATGCCGAGCATGCTGCCGACGGGCAGACCGATGCACTCGTCTTTGGCAAGACGATGCAACCGATGCACGCTATGAAAATCCTCTGGAATCATTCGCAACATGCGGATCCCATCGGAGTGCGCGTCCTCCTACAGGCGATGAGACGTGCCGCAGAGGACTCGACCGATCAACGATCCGAGGATGGCGAAAGATCGAACAGACGAGCTCGTCGCCCAAGACCTGGTCTCCACTCACAAGCGGCTCAGTGGAAACCTGCCGACGTCTGCTACACCCGTGCTATGTACGCCAACCTCGAAGCACTGTCAAAGAAGCCGCACGGCCTCACCGCATTGACTTTGAAGGAGGGCGGCAAGTACGATGTCTGGTCCGAGGCCAAGTCGCTCTATCGCGAATGGTTCGGGTCCAAAGTTGCGAGTCACACTACCAGGCAACGAGATCTGAGCAGATGGGCTACACGAGGTTGCAAGAACCCTGCGTACGGCGTGAAGCAGAGCGTGCATTCACACGTGCACGCCGACACAATGCGGTCTCTGCTGCTCTCGATCGCGCGAGCATGTGCCAACAAACAGGAGGCTGAAGGAGTTGATATTGCGAGAGAAGCGTTACGGCTACTCGAGGAGACCGAAGGCCTGAAGTGGATCGTGGACGAAACGCAGCAGCAGCTGCGTCAGGACGATGTCCAGCCTCCATCGAGCCGACCGAGCCACAGCAAGGAAGCCTCCGCGGGCGACTTCAAGATGAAACCGTATACGCTTCCGCTATTAAGCAAGATCATCAGCTTGGCTTTAGATACTTCCCAGCAGTCCTTTGCTCCGAAAGAGGATGTCGAGCTATGGAAGCGACTCCGAAACACGCTAAGCGCTTCAGCTTCGGACGCCATTCCGAGAACATTTTCTGGGGAACAGACAGGTGACGCTCGTTCACCGAGAGCCACTAGCCAGATTCTGCCACGATCTGCTGGCGGGAGTCAGCTGTTATTGTCGAGGGACGACCATCTTGAATTACAGGCAGAAGCAGAGGACGACGGGATTCACGAGATGCGACAAGATTTTGAACAGCCGCGAGCAGGTTTGGACAGAAGGCAGCGCCGTTTGCGCCACGTCGAGCAAGAGCTCGAACGATGGGTGCGCGGCGGCAGTTCTTTGTAAGCTTGGTCATCTATATTCAAAGAGGCATCGGCGGGAGGCTCTGTGAAGTGAGTGCAGGTCTGTGGATCGAAGCGTGCGATGCAGAACGACACTGCTGGTGGCAGCCTTAGCTGATGATCCTTCGAGTTGAATTGGAGATTTTTTGAACATAATTTGTTGGATCCTTTTCTGCAACGAATTGAGACTCTCACCATAAACCCATGGGCAAATTTCGCCTGAGACCGACAGCTGTCTGCAATCGTGGACAAGCTCAATTCGAGCTAGGTCAGCTCTTCCAGTCGCTGGAAGGAGAGATCGTCGCTGAGAAGAAGCTGTGAATGCCAAGGGAGCAAAGCCATTGCCCAACGAGAGAGAAGATTTACAAGTACAGCGGATGGCAGCGTAGCCATGAGAGCGAAAGGAGAGCTCGAACAGGTTTTCATGCCAGCCCGACTAGGCTGAACATGGTCTTGAGCGATGCGTGCTTGAGGCTATACGCGACGACCAGGCTCGTTCTTGGGGTCGTTTGTGATCGGGAAGGGGTCCTGGCCGTTTTGTTGATGGGAGAGTGCAAGGGCTTGTTGTGAGATAGGCGTTTGACCGCCGTTCGAAGCGATGATCTGAGAGCAACGGGACCGAAGAAGAAAAAGGATTAGTTAGCGTACTCGATGGCTGATCCGGACATCAGGTGGCTCCTTGATGCAGCGAACAGCGAAAGCGGGCAGACGGGGATCGAAACTTACCAGGCGTTCATCGCGGCGTGACTTCCACACGGCTGCTGTGAGCCAAAGACCCCAAATCTGGAGGCGATTTGGTGAATGTGACGGAAGGAAAGCTCATCGTCAGCACTACGCCCTCATCACACCCGACTCTTCGCATCAAGAATCCGCTTCAGAGAAAGGCGACAACTTACCCCGAGACCGACGAGACCTGTGACGGCCGTTCGATGAGCCAGATCGACCAGACTGGGCACTCTTCTCGACATTTGGGAATGAACACCTGGGTACGCCGTCCTGCTTAACCGCTGTGTGAAGGGTAGAATCGATGGGTTGAGGACAAGGCTAAGGTGGGAGCTAGATGTCGGCAAAAGCTCGAAAAGCTGCTTGGCTCAGACTCCATGTGGAGATGTTCGACCCCAAATCGGCGACAAATCGGGTCTTGACACGAGCGATATCTTGTGACGAATTGCAAAGCAAAACGTGATGTTAGAGCGGTCTACTCTCCGTCTCGAAAATGCGAATAATTCTCCCACTTCGCGATGGCCCGTGTACCATGTGACAGCCGAACGTCAAGCTGTCGGGTGACGTAGCGCCCTTCCGGTTGCTCGGCGGCAATCATTTGCATCAACTATCCGTCATGCCCGGGATAGTCACGGTTACAGTGTAATGCTGCAATGATGACTGACAGCGTTGATGAGGATTACAGGCTTCGAAGCCGGAAGCCTAGGGCGTGTGACTGTTGTCGGCTCAAGATTGTGAGGTATCGGTGTCCGTCCGTCGCCTTTTCATGGCTGGCGATCTAGCTCGAAGATCGTCGTTCTCTTGTGGCAGCTCGCGAAGCAATCACCGCATTGGCACGACGGATGCAGTGTACACTCATTCAGAGCGAGACCGAGACATGGTACGCACGCTCCAACGGCAGTGCTGGTCCGCCTCCACTTTCTCACAGCTACGCCCCTCTGTGCTTCGGGTCAACTTTTTCTTGTCCGACTATCTCCCTTGATCGAGTGTAGAAGAGCAACCTTGCACTCGTACAACTCCCTGCTCCATCAACCATCTCCACAATTTATTCCGCAACTTCGTACAGGACGTCCGAAGGCTCACGACGGAGCAACACTGCCACAAATCGACACGAGGAAGATAAGCCGGCGTCAACAGTTTTCCATAGAATCATCCTCCAACAACCCAATTTGAGACGGATACCATCAAGATGATTGGCGCCGGTGCTTCTCGCACCATCCTCTATTCTGGTCTGCGGAGCCAGCGAGCTACCAGCGCTGCTGCCATATCCACTTCGCTAGCTTCTCGCAGCACTCGGCTCGCGCCCGTGCAGCTTCGAGCTCTGCACACGTCGTTGCAGCGAAGCGCAGCTAACCCACAATCGGGCAAGCCAGCTTCGGACTCGTGGTCGCACACCAAGCAAAACATCAAGGAGGAGGCAAAGTCGATCCGATCCAGTGTAGAGTCAGCCATCGCAGGCGGCAACAAGGGCGAAGCAGCTGATGCTGCTGGCGCAAACACGAGCGGCGGGGGAGGCGGTCCTTCGGGCGCTGCCGAGATCCTCAAGGATGCCAAGAGCATCACTGGCGAGATGGCCCAGGCGGTACCTCAACCAGCACTTCTGTGGGGATCCGCGGGTGTCCTGCCCTACGTGAGTACGGCGGCTGCGTCCATCTGGCTGGCAAGAAAGGAACACTTGGTCAGCATGGGACTGGACAAGTCGATGGACAGCGAGACGGCGAGTGCGTTGCTCTTGCACGCTCAGAACATCCAGGTTGGCTTTGGAGCGGTGATGCTCTCCTTCTTGGGCGCTATTCACTGGGGCTTTGAGTTTAGCAAGTACGGAGGACGCATCGGCAACCGTCGATACGCCATCGGTGTGCTGCCACTGGCACTCGGCTGGCCTACGCTTCTGCTCGCTCCGCAAATGGCCCTCATCGGCCAGTGGGCCTCGTTTGTAGCCGTCTGGTTCATCGACCTTCGCGCCACCTCGGCTGGATGGGTGCCCAAGTGGTACTCGACCTACCGCTTCTGGCTCACCTTTGCTGTAGGCACCAGCATCATCGCCACTCTTGCTGGTACCAACTACTACGCGCCTGGTAGCCGAAGCACGCTCGGTGGCACCGCATCCAAGCTCGCCGAGGAGGTCAAGGCAGATGGCCCTACCAAGATGAAGCTGCTCAGACAGAGCGCCCACGGTAACAAGGGCGGTGTGATCAAGCACACTGAGGTGAGCGGCGATGTGGAAGCCACCAGTGCGGGTGCTGAGGGCGATAGCTATGTGACCATCGGCAACCCCAAGCGCAAGGAAGAGGAGAGGAAGGAGCAGGAAGAGGAGGAGAGGAAGAAGAAGGAAGAAGAGGAAAAGAAGAAGAAGGAAGAAGGCAAGAAGGAAAGCGACGGCGACAAGAAGAAGGACGAAAAGAAGGACGACGACAAGAAGGAGGAGAAGAAAGATGACGGCAAGAAGGACGAAGACAGCAAGGACGAAGAGTGATTGGCTTGAAGCCAACACCCAACTCTCCAAACTTGCTATCCGTAACAACTCCGGTGTTGCAAGCCTTCCGGGTGCCCATCCGTAGATATCAGACCATCACAATCTTCGTTATCCGCAATTCCTCGCAGCTGTTTACTTCTAGTATGTGAATACGATGTGAAAGAGGCTAGTGAAGTGAATTCATATTGCGCTGTGGTCGTGTGACTGGGTCCGTGAAGCTCAATGTAGTCGAGGCAGGCTTTGATTTGTATCGGCCGGTAGAAGCGTGAAAACGAGAAATCCAAGGTCATGCAAGTTGCTGCACGATAGAGCGCACGTGCGCATCTCAATTCCAGTTCCAGCTTGAACTTTCAGAAGCCCAATTTCTTGGTCATCCTTGTCGCACAACGATGTTACCCCTCTGATGTGTATTGTGCAGCTTCTTCTTGTACAAGAATGAGAGATGACGTCGAGCTTCGAAGAGAAACGCATAATCGTCCCGAAGTCTTGCTATCAAAACGATTCGGTCTTCGACCTCAGCAAGCTCGTGCAAGAGATTAACGGCCGCATTCTCGAGTTGCGGGAAACGTCTCAAATTCAATTTCCGCAAGCAGTAAGCACGCGCCAGGTGAGTTCTGGGCTGTAACCATGTTCGTACCACCTCATCTGTTGCTTCCTGCTACTTGCATAGCTACGCCAACTATTCCGTGCTCGATCCTTCGTTCAACCGACAAGGAGTTTAAAGAGACAGGTTGAGCGTGGCTTGATCGCTGTTTCACCCACTGTGATGATGGACAGCATATTTTCGGGACTGGATCGCTGCACGAAATTGGAATTTATAGATATTTTGGTGCACGAAGCTCTGTGCAGAGAAGCGAGCGAGGCTCGTCTAAGACCAAGAAGGGAACTTTGGCTGGATTTAGTGCGCATCGGCTATCTGCCCAAAGAACCGATTTGCTGCCTCTATCACACTCACTGTCTCTCTTTTCTTCGACTTCACCGGTCATCGCCATCACCCACCAAGCTTTCTTCTCTTCCGCCTACATCTCGAACCTACTTCCCTCGATCAACCGCCCTGGCGCTCGCATCCGTCTTCTTGCGCTTTCTCATATTCTATCGACACATCTTCCGATAGCGAACGCTGTATCCAGGCGTCAGACCGTGCGACAACGTCTCCTTTCAGCTCGACTCACCACAGCTCGCACATACCGATCAACACAATGTCGACCCAGCCGCTTCTTCAACGTACCGCTGGCAAGCGTATCGCTCTGCCAGTGCGTGTCGAGCCAAAAGTATTCTTCGCCAACGAGCGAACTTGTACGTACCGCCCCAACTGCCCTCATATCTACGTTCCGTGACGTACGACGGTGGATCGCGTTGAGGAGAGAGTTGATGTTTGGACGGATGACTGATCAGGCTTCTTCTTTTGCTGTCAATTCTATTTTTCCCAACGATAGTCTTGTCATGGCTCAACTTCACCGTAACGCTATCGGCTCTTGCCGCCGGCCTGCTCAACTTTGGCGACAAGATCGGTCGCATCTCCGCCGCCATGTTCTCGTTTGTTGGTGAGTCCTCACCTACTTCCCCCAGACCTTCTAGCTCTGCGGCTAATTATCTTGTCTTCCACTCTGAATTTCATTCTGTCGTTCGATACAGCTATGGCGATCATGGTATACGCACTCTTGACGTATCACTGGCGTGCAAGTGCCATCCGCAATCGCGGCTCTGGTCCTTACGACGACAGGATGGGTCCTACCGTTCTGTCCGTCATGCTTCTCATCGCTGTCTTGGTCAACTTCATCCTCCGTTTCAACGCTTGAGCCTGTCTCACCACGTTACGATGGCCCCCTATTATCGTCACACCGGGAGGTCCCGAATCTCATCACGTCGCTCAACCCTTCTGTTTTAATGTTATCACTTCCACATCAACTAAACTTGCAAACCCAAGGTCTGGATGCTTGTGCAGCCTGACTGGTTTGATTCCTGTCCACGAAGTTGCTGATCGAGTCTGCACCGATGTCGGGATCGCGCGAAGAGTGCAAACTCGTTGTATGGTCCAGGAACGAAGCTGAAGTCATTCACAGGACAGAGCATGGATGGAACTGGATGTCTTAAGTGAGCGTGTATGTTGCAGTGGAGCCCGTGTCGAGTCTTGCGAAGGGTGGACGTGCGTTGAGGCTTGGCGCCGTATCTCCTAGAGAAACGACTTTGATCTGCCACACGCAATGGACACCAGTCACACTTTCGCACGATCGGCGGCTGCTCCGAAGGCACTAGCGGAGCAAGTTCAGTTCTCAGTTCGACAGTCACTGAGCTCTCTAGAACAAGTAAGATTAAAAACTGGCATGCTAAAGACAGAGAGAGAGAGAGAGAGAGAGAGAGAGAGAGAGAGAGAGAGAGA